GCTTATGGTTTATCTTTACAGTGAATGAACATTGTTCTCAGAGAGGGCTTCTTCCTCTACGTTCCCCTCTATCACATCAACATGGTCATTACCAAAAGTAAAAGTAAATGATAAAAGTATATATATATGTGCCATATATGTGTTTTCTGTCAAAGCTCTACAGGCCCATGTTTCCTTGCAGTAAACCTCTAAAGAACTTGACTAGGAGTAAGAGATAGACTGCAGGTGAAAGATGATTTCCCAAGAGCTGGCTGGCAATTGAGTTCATTTACCGTCCGGATGTGCTCCAAATGCTGCTTTCCATCTGTTTCCACATTGTTCCAGATGTGAACATGTGCCAAAGTAAACAAGTGGACATCAACTGTTTTGTTGTTGTTATTCAATATATGCATATGTTACAGTAATTCTCTTGAGGAAATGATATCAGCCCAGGCTGTACTGTAGTGTTTTAAAACAATGAATAACAAGAATAGGAGAGAACTTCATACAGTTAATGATAATTAAAGCACCTTTCATACACTAAAATGCAGATCGAAGTGCAATTTGTTTTGACGGATGCATAGAAAAGCACAGGCAAAAGTTAGATGAAGACCCTTGAACCTCACTGTCATAACAACATACAGCCAGCGTATTGAGAATGATTTAAAACATATTTTGGCATAAGAATGTAAACTCAATCTTGGCTCCGCCTAGTTTGCTCTGATTGGCCCATGTCGAACAGCCTGATCAGTGAATATGACATCATGAATACGGCCCACCCTCTACACTTCAGCAGAGGTTACTTTAGGGCATGTTGGTGGGCTGTAATGTCCAACAGCCCTTTTGGAGTGACATCCACTGTGTCATCTGTTCCCAGGCTGCAGGGTCAAATGGAGTCAACATGAAGGCCTTCATAGCTGAAATTGCTTCTCGCTCTTAAAGGAATAATTTGGCGAGAAATCAGATTTGCACAATGTTCTCCATGTTCCAAATGTAGTGGATCAGCCAAGACATGTTTGGTGATGAAGGATTATTCTTTAGTTTTGTACTGAAGGTACAAGGCTAATAGCTAACAAGAAGTGGAAGCGTATAATAACCTACTACTGGTGTTGACCCCCATTTCAGTTCTTTTTGTTAACTTGCCATCAACCACTTCAACTGACCATGTTATACAAGGCCTCTTACAGCAGATAGAAGTGAATTGCACTAGATCGCACTCAACCTCAGCAGGTTAGCCTCAGTGAGCTAATCAACTAGCCATGCAAACTTTGCAATGCAAAACTTTTTTTAAGAATTTTGAGCGTAACGTACATAATGTGTGAGTAATTGCTTATCTGGATATAGAACCATGGTGTTGCGCCTTTCTTTTCGTTTTTGTTAGGCGTATAGCCTTTAGCATGCTAACAAACCAGCTAGCAGACCGATGAAGTGGTATTATCAGTCGTGTATAACAGATGGAGTAGTTTGTAATTTAGAGCATTCTACAAATTGAATATTAGCATTTTAAAGCACACTGTTAAAATGATGGTTCTTCAAGGGTTTTTTAGCAAAGACAAATTAAATAGAACCGTGAACACTCAAATTACAATTTGCACGCTAAAGCGTTCTTTGTATTATGAAATTATTCTTTAGTTTGATGGAGTGTGTTGTGTACAGTTCTAAAAATAATTTTTTGGAAAAAAGCTTGACATTGTACCAAAAAAGAACGCTTTTTTGTGCTATATAGAACCGTACACAACATTCTCCATCAATCTGAAGAACCAATTCACAATGCAAAGAAACATTTAAGCATGCAAATGGTTCTTTCAGTGCTCATGGTTCTATATAGAACTATTGTCTTCACTAAAGAACCCTTGAAGAACCATTGAAGAGTGTAGTTTATTGCTAAAGCTTATAAACAGCTTTGTCATTATTATTTTGCCATTATTTCTGGGTTTGAAAAGGGAAATGCATCATGTCGCAATCATTTCTGAGCAAGTTCTGGGGGTAATTTTGATGTTGAGTGAGAAAAATAACACACTAATGGAGACTTGTTGACACTGACGATAACCACACAGTTTTGATCAGTGAGAATCAATGGGCAGTGAAAATCAATGGGCAATTTCTCAGAGGCCAAATTTAACAAATTTTAAAAAGTGTCAAGTGGGACTTATGTTTGAATTCCTAAATTTTTTCAAACCGTCTGCCTTATACACGGTGATTCAAAACGATTCATCCAATTTCAAAGCCCCATATTTTTACAACCATGAGGCGCCAAGGAACCAATCACAATCCAATTGGAAGAGGGGGTCATAGAGTTTCTGACTGTCAGTGGAAGATGGCTCCCTTCAATCTGTGAGGAGATAAGACCCCTGAGCAGAAAGCGTTCCGCATTCTCCACTTCAATAAGAGTGAATCCGTCATAACTGTGCAACGTGATTTTCGTCACCCTGTAAATTGGTTAAGGTGTAAACAGTCACTCAGAGTGGTTTGATGTGAAATGCTCTGTTCTACAGTAAATTATAGAATTAGGATTGTTCACAATGGTGCCTCTAAAAGCTCCCTCACAGAAAGTTATTACACAGAAGAGTTATGAACACACTGCCTGATGACTGAGACATTGTTTCACCATAGTTGTTTGCAGTAAGCTTTTGACTTAAAATGTACTTTTTAAAAAGTCATTCACGGCAAAGAGGGACATGCAAGACATTGTAAAGCAAAATAACGTACTTACAGACTGCTCACTTTTTACTCATTTGTGTTTATTGTGACCCCTGGTTCATCTCACCAACACTGTAAAGAAATCTTGAGTTGGTAAGTTTCTCTACAAGTGAGGTTACCTAATAATTCATCATGGTCTGAGGTCAGTATGACTTAAGTATGAAGTTAGCACAGTGGTAACTGGTGGCTGTAACTTCCTATTTCTATTAACTAAATGAACTAATAAGTTCCAATATAAAAGCAAAGCAAATTTCAGACATCAAACATGTCTTGAGTGGTCAACTACACAATAAAAAAGATGGGTTATTTAGTAAAGGGAATGGTTCTGTTTAGAACTGAGTTCTATGTACAACCATTACATGCTTAAATGGTTCTTTGTATGGTGTTGTTCTTCAGATTGATGAGAATGTTATATATTTTTGAAAATGGTTCTATATAGCATGAAAAGGGTTCTTCTATTGTTAAACGCTTGACATTGTAACAGTAGAACCCTTTTTGGTGCTATATAGAACCATTTTCCAAAATATACAACACATTCTGAAAAACCATCACCATGAAAAGGACCCTTTAAGCATGAAATGGTTGTACATAGAACTCATGGTTCTATATTGAACCATTCCCTTTACTAAAGAACCCTTGAAGAATCATCTTTTTTTAAGAGTACGTGTGGGGCACGGGGGAAACCGTACATCACCGAACTGTAACACTGCAACTGTAACCAAATGCCTTTTTGTCTATTTCTCTTAATCTCCTAAACGCTTACTCAACTGCCCTGAACTTTCCAAAGGAGAACTGCGGCTCCTCAAGAGAGCCATTTTTCATTCTTATCAGAATCTCCTGTCAGATTGCTGCATGAGTGACCCAAGTGACAAATTGTTCAGACTGCATTAAAATGCCAGTTCAGCAGAGGAAAGGCAACCAGAAGTATCGTCACCTATTCTGCTTCAGCAGTAATGAAAGTTCTGCTTTAAGAAAATGTAAAACTGTACCGGTTTAAAATGAGCAAACATCTGTGTAATATTTTTGTTGGCGAGCTGTTTGGTCCTCCTTCAACATGAGTCAAATTCTTTCAACAGTTTTCTGCAAGCTTGCAGATTGAATCTGGGCCTTGAGCTGTGAGGCTAAGTTATCAGGGTTTGCACAACTCTTATTGTACACGGTAAGCAGCCCTAGAGAAAATGAGTCACTGTACAGCAGCTCAAAAAAGAAGGTATCATGACATCTCTACAGGGACAGAATCCCTCGCATGGGCCCAATGATTAGCACATTTAGGGTGTTCAGTAGCTTAGGGATACAGTAATGCACCTTGTAATATTGTCTACAACATAATTAACATTAACATGTATGTTAGATCTGACAGATCTTTGTTGATCTTTGAGTAATGTGGTTATGGCATCTTCACCTGAACCAAAAATGGCTGGTCAGCAGAGGCAACAGCTAACATTTTGGCCCCCACACTGCCCCCCGATGGTACAGAAAAAAACTGCTGCACACAGGAATGAATTACCTAATCATTTATGAAGTACTACTTGTGCATAACTAAGATCCATTTAGTGTTCATTACTAAAAATTATGCGCCAAAATCATACTTTACTGCAAAACTGTTTTGATATACTGTATTGAGCCCTGCTAGCCACATCCTGTATAAATAAAAATAATGCATGACCACGACTTGATAAGGCATGGGAACAAGATAATAAAGCCGTGGCCATGACTTAGCAGGCATAGGAACCAGATCCCAATGCATGGCCACGACTTAGATCATGTCTTATTAATTCCCACACCTTCTCTCATTCCCATGCCTTACAAAGTCATGGCCACCATAATACTGTGATCATTTACTATTATTTGAATCAATCACAAATATGACAGTGCATCTGGCTGTGGAGGTCATGCAAGGTCTTTTCTATTTGCCATGCAAAATGTGCGTCAGTCCAGAGGACACTGAATAAAAACATTTCAGCACAAGGTCAGGCAGTAAGCACTCTAGAACCTAACCAAGACTGCAATGTCATACCAACTGTTAGCAAGTAATCCCTAAGCATTTTTAGTCAAACCATGAAGCATTTTAAGCACTCCTGAAATTCTTTAGGACACATCGTCAGCCAAGAGAACTACATACAAGCCTGCACCATTTCCTCTTTAGCGCTTAAACAGAAATACAGCATTTTAATTTATGGATTTAAACATGTACCCCATGTACATAATATATATAATGTATGCCTTTTGTGTTATATTCCTGCAGTACAATGTACAGAAATAGGACGAAAGCCTCATCAGCAAATACATCTGCTTATTTAAAAGTTAAAACCAATTAACACTTTCTTTTAAGAAACAACTTTATTCAGAGCCTTTGTCCACTCAACCAAACATGTACTGAAAAAGAAAAGAAATGGAGAGCATGCACACCGGTGACTTTAAGACTTCATCCAAAACAGTTACAATGAAAAAGTATCAGTATGTTACAGCAGGGACTGCAGTTGCTCTCCTAAACAGGACAGAAGAGACATGAAACTTGTCTACTGCAGCGCAACAGCACCATCCACTGGGCAAACACCACAAATGAATTCCACTACAAGGTGTAGGGTCAACTGGACAGGAAACTGTAGTTAGACCAACATGATCAGAAGAATGAATTATATCAGCATTATAACTACTGTGATACAACAAAAACCTCTGCAATTTATCCAGTGAAACTTGCCTTATGAACAGCACTGGGAGTGATGGCACGCATTTCAAGTTTCAGCTGAGACCATTCCTGAGTATGTACTGAGGAAACTAATCCACTAGACAACAAATGATCATAAAATGTTTTGGAATGGATGGAGAAGGGGAAAACAAAAAAACAATAAAACCATAGATGCTGCACTCTGTAATAGATCTTTTCGTCTGTTGCATGGCCAAAAAAAAAAAAAAAATCTTTAAAAAGTCAAACAAATTTACAAAGCTTTAGAAGCTATATACAAGCTGTGAGCTCACAAATAGGTACAAAACAAAAGAAAGAAAACGAGGATAGGAGGGGTTAGTAGCGCCGGCCAAAGGCTCCGCCTCCCTGCATCCCACCACCCTGCATCATCTGGTTCTGTCGGTTTAAGGCTCCAGAGAGGGACTGGGACGTTCCGGTCTGCATATATCCACCCCGACTGAGGACCAGCAAGAAAAAGCATTAGCATTTACATTCTTAACATTAACCAGAAGTATCACAGGGATTTTCAACAATGAAATAATAACCTAAACAAAACTACAAGTATTAGTTTTCATTTCCCTTTTAGCCAATTCAGCATTATTAAAACATTCCTTTCAAATGAAATTCAAAAGGCTGACAACCATCAAATGTTTCTTACTTTGCCATTCCTCCTCGGGCCATGTGACTCTGGCCTGGAATGCCCCGGTCTGCACCTGAAACAGCCAGGATAGCACAGGTCAACATTTGCTCATTCTGCCCTGCCTACAGGAGAGCATATGTAACGTGTTGAGCTGGACATACCTTGCCAGGGCCGGTCCCCTTCCATCTTGCGTCCAGGCTCCCATTCTCTGTTATCCCTGCACCAGAAAGAAAGTTGTATCGATAGCATTCTTTTACAGTGGTCTGTCAAACAGACAGAGCCAACTATTGACTAGAAATAGTCAGTATCAGTACAGACCAGCACTCCACTTTTACTCGCAAATATAATGCTCAAAAGAAATGTAGCATGTACAAAATTAGAATCTATGATGTCAATGCATTACTACAATATTGGTGGGGTAAATACAGCCCATCCCAGTCTCACAATGAGCTTGTTAATTAATAGCAAACTAGATAGATAGATAGACAGATAGATACACAGGTAGATAAATAAGGTGAGGAGACCCCCCAAAAAAAAAAACAATAGGCAACAATTTGTCAACTCACTTTGAAAAGAAAGAGCAAACAGGAAAGCACTTCTGATTTTAAATTTTCAAAACTGGTTAATTTCTTATATCAAAGTATTTACCAAATTTCAGCAAAGTTAGGACGCAAGTTTACCTGCCAGGCACCGGCCTTGTGGGGTTCATGGGTCGCTTATCGTAGCCACCTGCACCCCAGTTATCCCTAGAGTCCCTCCCGTGTCTTTCCCGATCCGGGAAATGCTGGAAAATAAGAGACATTAAGAAAACGTGTCAATATCTACCAAACAAAATATAGTGAGTATTAAACTCTTATAGGTAGCACCTTTATTATAAACGTAAATGTTTTCATCATATATTTTATGCCTTTACAATAACTTATGTTACTGCCATTCCAAACATTAGCCCTATTTAAAAAATAAATAAATAAATAAATAAATAAAAATTGTGTTCATCACTGTGCCACCTATTGTGCATTTTGTTTATCTTCAACATGCAATAAACTAATATATTTAAAAGTAAAATATCTCTACCTGGCCTTCTCTGTCTCCAGGCATACCTCCTCTGGCACCATCCCTCCTGAAGAGTCAAAAGCATCAAGATCAACCACATGTCACTGATGAGTAATAATAGCTGCATTAACTATGCATTTACAGCTTCTCGTTATCTCCCAATTCCTAGAGGAATCACACAAATAAAAGACAAATTTGTCAAACATGAATTACCTGTCCATCATCATGTCATCCTGGTATCGGTTGCGGTCTCTGTGGTCAAAGTCTTGGTAGCGCTCCTGTCGTCCAAAGTCTGAGCGTCCGTAACGGTCATCCATGGGCATCCTCTTAACCTGCCAGTCGTCTTTCCTGTAATCAGCATAAACCAAGATGTGCAACAGTTTACACAACAAAACACTGATCAGCAGTTCTTCTAATGACGAAGCGAAAACAAATCAGACATTTTTAAAGATAAAGTAACACAAATTGATCTTTGGCCCTATAATGGACTCTCTCTAAAACTAATTCTAAATAACACTCTACCTGGCCTCCATATCATAGGGCCTCTTAATTGGGCGACGCTCTTGTTCATAGCGAAGTTGTTCCTGCTGTCTGCGCAGCTCTTCGCGCTCTCGATGAATTCTCTCCTGCTCACGCCGCCGCTCGTATTCCACTCGCATGCGCTCACGCTCCAAGAACTCTCGCTCCATACGGTCAGCCTCCAGCCGCTGCTTCTCCACCTCGAGCCAGTTGCGCTTGCGCATCAGCCTCTCACGTTCCTCGCGCTCGCGGAACAGACGAATACGCTCACGCTCGCTGCGACTGTCGCGATCACTGCTGGGGAAAAATGTAATGTATAGGTTTAAACTGCTGACAGACCCCATTCAAACAGCTAGTGTAGTGACCTCTCCATTCAGCCATCTGCTCATCTGCTGTTGATTATGCCTCAAACATAGCAGACATTTAATTTGTCACAGGAAAACCAGCATTAAAGCATCTTATGTTGAGACTTTTGCCTGGTTCTAGTAATGACATCCTTCTATTTCCAACAAATACATTTAATCAAATGCAAAGCCTTCTGTTTAAACTTTTTAAAAAGCACAAAGAACTATACTAAATAGCTTTGGGAACTCATTTTTCTCTAGTGGTCCACAGAGTTACTACATTAAATCACTGAGTTGTTAAAGCCATTCAGAGTGGTTTGCTGTGTAGACCTCGGAGAGATGCCCAGTGTAACACAGAACTGAACAATTCCAGACCTGGAAAGCAACACAGCCGAACAATTCCAAATTTCTAGTCCACCCATTATAACACCTCAGCTAATTAACAAGCTCTAAAAATTGAGCTGTGCAGTTCTGTGGCCTTAAATGACTTTGAGCTTCTGTGTATATCTATGTGTACGTAGACGGCTACCCAGAATGCCGACGTCTCTCTGCCTCACGGATTTCTCGTTCACGCTGCCTCTGTCTCTCACGCTCCCGCTGTTCTTTGATCTGGTCAAACGACAGGATGTCCTTCCTCTCTTTGCTGGAAGACTTGCGGTCCCGACTCTTCGTGCTCTACAGAACCAAATAATGAGGTTAAATGATTTAAGCAACACAAACAAAGTACTTTCCCCTAATAAAAGGATATTAAAACTGCCCCTACATGTCTATAGAAGTTTAGTTCCGCACCCAACTGAAACACCACTGGCTCTAATATGTAGATGCTCCTAAATGCATTAAATTATAGCAGGAATGACATATTACAGGGCAGCAGACATTCTGGATGAGTGTTGGGCATCCCCACGTCACAGAGCATGCCTAGTGCAAGTTTTCTGATCTCCTATAATTCATTCTACAGTTAAATGAGCCAGATATATTAGAGCAGGGACTAAAATGTAGATCTAACATGCCTCTGAAACACTACCACGCATTAACAGAATTGATAGAGGAGTCACTTACCCGCTCCTTGCTCTTAGTCTTGACACTGATGACTGGCTCCCCTTTCGATTTGTCCATCACAACAGTCCTCTCTCCACGGGCTACAGCATAAAAACAACCCATTAAACACTTAGATACTAATCAGACTGGCGAGGCATCATTGATTAAGTGTAGATTAACAAGACAGCACAGCTGAATGATTACTCACCTTTGTCATCAGAGCCTTCAGCCTTTTCATCTTTTTCATCCTTTTCATCCTTGCCATCAGATCTGCAGAAGATGAGAAACTGTGATGAGGTTCTGGGCTTTTTAAATAGCCAACATAACACTGACTGTCCTCCATGTCAAAGCTTTTAAACTTTACACTTGAGCTGCTTACTTTTCAGTCTTGGACTCGGATGAGTGTCTCCTGTCACTGCTGGACTTTTTGGCATCACTTCTGTCTGCAGGCTTTTTACCCGCTGGCTCATTCTTGGCCTAAAAGAAGTAACCAGTGTCACTACAGATATTCAACACCAACACATTATTTCTGTCTCACTAGCCAACCTTTCCATCACCTTTCTGTGGAATTTGCAAGCAATAAATTGAAATTGTGTTGGGAAAAAAATGATTTTTTTGCTGCCCAGCAGCTCATTTTTTTGGCTTTACATAGTGACAATTTCCCACTATACACTGTTGGTTTAAAAATTAAAAGTACTTGACAAATTTTCATTTCTAATTTCACTAATGTAGCAACTTGTATACCTTTGATTTTCCTGACCAACATAACCTGTTGCTAATTAAATTTTGTTTATTTAATTTTTTTTTGCCTAAAGAAGAAACGTTTCCAATGTAGGTTTTCAATAAACACTTTTCACTAAAGTTAGACAGAAAAAAGGTGTAGTAGACATTCAAAATATTACAGCCAAGTTCCCTTTCAGTAGCCAACATCGACAAACTTTTTCAAGCATTACAATGTTTTGCGCACAAAGTCCTTTGGACGGAATTGTAGCTACTGTAGGAACAGATAATGTGTCCACTTGCCCTTTCTACAGAGATCATTCGCCCATGGAGCTCAGTTCGGTGCAGATGGTTGATGCACTTCGTAGCCTCCTCTGTAGAACACATTGTAACGAAGCCATAGCATCGAGCCCCCGGGCTGCGGGCGTTTGTCACCACCTTTGCACCAACAACCTGCGAACAGACACATAAAACATAAAAATCAATACTACAAACATACTTCAGAAAAACAAAACTGTGGAGATGCAATGTCAAAAGCATGTGCGCACCTTTTATCTTGGAAATATGACATGACAAACAAAATAGAGATGCGTCAATATGGGAGCAAATCTACCTGAATTAGCATTACAGAGAAATGTAACCTTTATTTTTAGATTTGCATAAGTTTGTATTGGTATAAATACCTTAAATCAAATAAACAAGATACATACAATTCGGATACCATGGCGCATCCTTAAAACAGAACACCTTTACATTAATAAAGCATATTAGCATGTGTTTCCTTGCAAGTGTTTCCCCACGGCACACAAACCTTGCCATATTTGCTGAACAGATTCTTCAGATCAGTCGCTCTGGTGGTTGAAGAGAGTCCACTAACCCAAAGGTTTCTTCCACTAGCTGCAGCACTACCTGTTCAGATGAAAAATACTTTTTGTATCCTTGTAGTCAATATGGAGTCAAAGTCCCTCCATTTTATTGTTTACAAAATTCTAATGTCAAGATTCTCATATATTGTAAGCAAAGGTAATTTTTTGTCTACTTTCTTGTTTAGTGTTAATACAGTTTTTTAAATATAAAAAGCACTAAACTTACCTTTGTCATCTTTTGACTCACTTTTACCTGATTTTTCATCACCGCTAAAGGAAAAGGAAAAAGAAAAAAAGAGAAAAAATTTAGAGTGTTTCAAAAACTCAGACCGGGAGACACTGGAACTTCCTAAAAAAATACCCACCTGGGGAGGCTGCAGCCTCAGGCAGAGAACAAACTACATTTAAAATGTTGATTCTACGACTTGAGAAGCCATCTGAAAACAAATTTCTATACACATGCCGCTAAGGCATTTTAGATGACAATCAATCGCTTAAAAGTACTTAAAACGAGGGGGAAAGGGAAATGGGAATGAAAAAAGGAAAAGAAAAAAAATGAGGGACGAAATGCGCAGTCCATTACACATCCCAAGAGCACCCAAACTTGTTAACAAAGGAGCCAATGTAACAGATTGTAACAGCCATTGTTCTAGTAGACAGAAAACAACAAACCTCTTTTTCTGATCATCACCCTCTACAGAGGACTCTTTCACTTCTGAAGAATCTGCAGCGCTCTCTTCAGTCTTCTTGTCTTCCTCAGACCCCTCCGCCTTCGACGCAGTTTCCGAATCGGCTGCGTTTGCGATTTCGTGCAAGCCCGTTTCGTTTGCGTTAGCGGCCTGAGCAGATGCGCTCTCGGCATCCGTCGAATTGTCCTGAGCACCTTGTTGGTCCTTGCACGTTGGTTCGACATCGCTTTGCTTTGACGTGTCAATGTCTGCTTCACAAGCCGATGACTCTCCTTCCATATTGCTGGCATCCTCAGCTTTACTGAGGTTGGACACATTGACTTCGTCTTTGTGAGAATCCCAGACTGAAGCTTTCTTCTCTTCACTCGACTCCTCAGTTGGCTCTTCTTTATGCAGCTCTGATATACAAGACCCGGCTACTTTGTCACTTTCTACGAATGTAACAGGAATAGAATGGCACAGAGTTTAATTACTTCTGAGACATTGCATTGGTTATCGTGGAACTGGACTAGGACGTGACCCACTGCTTCACATAAGACAAGTATTACCCTATAAAGAGACTGGAAAAACCAAAGAAAGCAAGCAACCTGCTCTTTATTTTTGGACTAAAGTTGAACCTTTGTCAGTTCACCTGATGCCAAGCTGAGACAATGTGAAGAAAGCCACAAGACCAGCACACAGATCCATAGTGTCCATCGTTGATTGATTTTGCAGTTCAAGCGTCCATGAAACAGAAGAGAGCTTTTGTGCTGTTTTTAAACGTATCTTTTTTTTTCTTTGAATCAAGCAAGTCCATTAGTGAATCTCCAAAAAACAAACATGAGTCCTAAAAGTGACTGTGATCCATTTCTTCATCTTCTTTCCTGAAGTCTTCTTTAGGCAACCTAGAAACATCTGCAAGAACTGCCTAGATTTCACTAGAATCTAACTTAACCACTTATTACTGGCTCTGTGCATAAGCTTTTAGAGCAAAAACCTGACTTCAGATATACTGCTCTGTACTAATTGTACTCTCAGAAGGATTTGGATGGCATTACTTACACACAAGGCCAGTAACATCTCTGGGTTTCCAGTCTCTTTGTTAACTCTAAGAAGTACTTTTAACTACTAATCGAGCTTAAAAATCAGCCCTGCAATCAATAGTGTTTTCAAACTTCTCCATACAGTACCTATTTCCCTTTTTGTCTCTTCATGATCCTCTTCTTGTTCATGATCCTACAAAACAAAGCAAGAAAAAACTTGGAGTTCTGTTATCTACAGCAAAAAACAAACATCCAGCAGTCAAACCAGTTAGATTACATAACACGACTCAAATATGCATTCAAAGAAAATACGTAAAGCGGCTTCATCTTTCAATACCTGAGAATCCAGTCTCTGTTTTCTTTCTGAGCTCGAATCTTTAGTTTCCATTTCCTAAAAAGTCAATGTAAATAGCAATTAGATTATATGCTCAATTAAGGACAATGGCAAAGCCTTAAACAGGGGTTCATAACCTAGGGGTCAAATCTTGGTTCCAGGGGGGTCGCAAGAGTGTTGCTGCGTTATCAAACAGAAAAAATTGCATACAAGCTCTGTTGAATGGCTCCACATAAAGGCCATGGACGACAAGCTAATGTCCATTATGAGTTTCTATCAGGTGAGCTCGTTACTGAGAGAGAATCTTGACTGACCGCTAAAGTTGAAGCATTTTTTTCAGTGCCAGGCTATAGATTTGTGGTTCATGGCAAAGTGCTAGCTATGTAGCCCCAGTACGTGAGAAGGGGGGAGGGGAGGGCGGTTGGCAAAAGGGGGTCACGAAATATTTTTAACCCCAAAAAAAAGGGTCGTACTGTGCAAAAGGTTAAGAACTCTTGCCTGATTTTTTTTAAACCAGATCTAGTCAATCAGCAAAGACATGTTTGGTTTCCAAACTATGTTTATTTAGATTAGCATTGGAGTTACACCACTAACAGTGCAAAGAAACAAAAAACTCACCCAAATCCTTTCTGTAAAAACATCCTTATACTCCTTTCAACCCATTTAAACTGCTTTCAGGCCTTGTCAACAGGCCTGACCAGGCACTGTACTGACTGGTCAATGTGATTTAAAGCTTAGTATGACTTACTGTGAACTACAAAAACAGACAAAACTTCAGCGAGTGGCTGAATGATGCTGATATCCAGTTTAGACAAAAGATGTTCTGCTGAATTCTGACTCAACTTCATGTAAGCAGCTAGAAATCACTGTTTTTTGTTTCTTAACCTTTGTTCATTTTTACAGCTCACAGTAAGTTTCATGCATCCTAAACCACATCAAGAAGTCTGCATGACCTTAATAAAGATCTGGATGCTGTTTCAGTGAGTTGAGAGAAGGCTGAGACTTCTCACGTTTGTTAGCTACGTTAGCATTGCAGCTCCAGCGCCAAGCTAATGAGGGACGTTTCTGACAACAAACATGTCTTGGTTGATCAGCTCCATCTGGATTACGTAGAAAATTGTGCAAATGTGAACCCACCCTTTAAACAAGAGAGGGATTATAAATACTGACCTCCTCTGTCTCAGGTCTTCCTGGTGACTCGAGAGCTGAAGCATCTGCAATTTCATCATTTTCATTCCCTGCTTCATTTGACATCATGTCTAGAAGTTCATTCTCATCATAGTCATCACCATCAGCTGCCACACCATTGTCAATCTCGGCTTCATCCAGAATGTTCATGTCCATGATATCCATTTCCTGTAGATTCTCTGCATGTGCATCAGGATCATCCTGGAGGAAAACGAAAATTATACTAGGTCACATTCTGCTGCTACCAAAACAGCATGAAATTGTAACTTTCGTTACTGCTGCTCTGTTCATTTTTAATAGAGAATTTGATCACTACAAACCACCTGGCCGTCAACAGAATCCTCTTCGATTGTGCAATCCTCCGATTCATCATTGTCTTGTCTCTTCCCTACAAAAAAAAAGTATCACAGTTAAATAGCAGCTTTGCAATGCGTAAATACCTTCAGCAGAACGCAACCCATTTTTATTTCAGTGTTACATTCACATTTACCTTTAGGTGCTCTTCTAGGTGTTTTTTTAGGAGTTATTTCAAGTTGAACCACTATTTCATCAGGATTGCCTCCTTCCTCTTCAATGGCCTGAAAAGGAAAATGATCACAGAAAAATTTTAAAATGTAAAACTGGTTGGAAGGTCTTAATGACAGTTGGCTGTAAACTTTTCTAAGCACCTCTCCTATAAAATATATGTTCAAAATTTGCAAAAAAAAAAATGGTGGATGGAAAACCCACTACAGAGCTGGGCAATACAACAATATTTATAGTTATCATGATAAATTACAACATCATGTGTCACAATATGCATTTCTGACTACACAGTGAATATTGTGAGCACTTCCAAACTGCGTGTTTGATTAAAAAGAGCATAATTAATACTGCTCAATTGGATTTGGTGCAGCACTATATGCGAAATTTTCAATAAAAATAACAGTGATAGACAGCGTTTTTTTAAAAGTGGCACTACTTTATCTGTTCCAATTTATCAGATGTCATAGAAAACAAATATCGTGACACTGTGTATCGTACAAAAAAAAGCAAAAGTATCGTAAAATTACATTATTTACATATCGACATATATTATATCATAGCACCCCTAGTTAATATATAAACCAACATCAGAGTTTTAGCCACACCAGAATATGAGAATATTCTTTCAGTGTTCTGATAGTTTTACCACACAGAAGTAAGCTATTTTTTTGGATTACAGTAACTAAATATCCAGAGGTGCTAAAACAAAACGTAAACAGAAAACATGCAGGCCTGCTCAACAGCAATGGCGCAGCCATGTATTAGCCAGCCAAGCTAACTAAATGCTAACTTACTTCCTAGAAGGAAATCTAGCGAGGGGACTGGGTTTGTACTCTGAGGCCAAATGCAAAGCGGAACGAGCAAAATATGACCTATATTTTAAAGGCAAATCGGGCAACATTGCGTCGATGAAGTTTTGCCGGCTCAAAACAGAGAACGGCCAGCTAAAACGCGCAAAACTGCAGTTTAGCCTCAGCTTAGCCACCAGCTCTCCTGCAAAACCGCTAACGTTAAACGCTGTTCAGGCTGCACACACACTGGTGCTCGAATAAACAGCGTTATTTAATGTCATATATCGGCCTGCAGCTCGTCAGCTGTACCTTCTTGAGGCGCTCGGACAGCAGGCTCTTGTTGCCGCTGATGTCCAGGTTTCGCTTCTTCAGCTCGGCCTTCAGGTCGATCACTCTCAGCTCGGACAGTTTGCGAACACCGGCGCCTTCCAGCACCTCGGCGGGTCCGGAATCTGCTGCCGAAGTGTTTTCAGACATGGCTGCAGTTTCGTGAATGCACTTCGCTGTCGTTATTAAATAAGCCTAACCTAAAACTCCAGTGTTGGGAAAAAAACACCGCCGCGCTGCCAACCTCAACACTGCAGCTTTCCTGCACGCGACAAAATGGCGTTACTGATCGGCTACGCGCATGCGCGAGTGGTCTCAATACGCGCCACAGACTCGAGTCCAAATCAGAGAATCAGAGTCGCCAAGTCCGCTTATTACAGTCGACTTTGGGCTTATTTGTACGGAGCCCCGCTGGTGACATCCTGTATAAATAAAAATAATGCGTGGCCACGACTTAGTAAGGCGTGGGAATGAGATGATTAAGTCGTGGCCACGACTTAGTAAAGCGGGAACGAGATTCTAATGCGTGGCCACGACTTCTTAAGCCGTGATCTCGTTCCCACGCTTTACTAAGTCATGGCCATGACTTAATCATCTCAATCCCGCACCTTACTAAGTCGTGGCCACGCATCATTTTTATTTATACAGGATGTCACCAGCAGGGCTCCGTATAAAATCACTCATAAACATAAAAGAAACGCAGCACTGTTTTTGTCCATGAGGCTTATTTTTTCTGCATATAGTAAGTGAGACAGTCAGTCAAAGGTCCAGTAGAGCATATTTTTTTAATCATCTTTTTTTGCGTTATATGTCTGCAATTTCATTCATTCATGTATTCATAATTTTTTCTTATTTTTTGTTGGCCAGTTCACTACAGTATTTGAGTCATTCTATGGAAACGTCCATTTTTGGTACTTAGTGTTTACAGATATGTTACACTTGAAAAACATATTTTGGTTACAATTTATATATATTTAAAAAAAACAATACCTTATTTTAACAATTACACCTTCTTCAGCCATCGATTTAGTAATATTGGTTTTTAAATTAATTATATAGAATTCCAAGCACCACAGAAGAGCTCGTCCTCACAGTCATGTGTAAAGACTGAGTGCCAAATTCTGAGGTAAAAAAAACGCCTTTAACTGCAATAATCTATATATGACTATAAAATATATGATTTAAATGACATAAAGAAAACAAATGCAAAATAATTATTAAAAAATATATAATGAAACTTGTGGTCCCCAGGAGTTGTGTCACTCGTAATCTGTGCAACATAAAATCTTATTTTCAAGTTAAAATCACACTGATGACATCACTTGACTTCCTTTCACCTGTGTTCTGAGGATCTATGAAGAAAAGCACATGGTGAGTCCACTGTGTCTTTCAGTTATCAGAGATTTTCTCATTTAGCTCATGATTTCGTATGAAGCTTTCAGCTGACGTCACTGGTATGACCTACTTTATTCTTAGGTAATTGTGAAAAAATAGAACACAAATGGATTAAATTACATATTTTAGTAGATATTCCATGATTGACAACATGTGGTTTGATGCTCTGTAGCAGCCGCTTTGTAAAATGCATTTTTCATTAGAAATGTCTCTGGTGTTACCTTTCTGATGTGTAAATGGTTATTTATAAAATTTGCTTTCATATATATCTGTCTGCTCCACTCAGACCAGCACAACACACACTAACCCACCACCACCACGTCAGTGTTACTGCAGTGCTGAGAATGATCCACCACCCAAATAGTACCTGCTCTGAGAGGGTCCTGTGGGGGTCCTGACCACTGAAGAACAGGGTAAAAGGGGGCTAACAAAGTATGCAGAGAAACAGATGGACTACAGTCTGTAACTGTAGAACTACAAAGTGCACCTATATAGTAAGTGGAGCTGATAAAACGGACAATGAGCGTAGAAACAAGGAGGTGGTCATAATGTTATGCCTGATCGGTGTGTATATATTTTTTTAAATTCGTGATCACAATTTCTTAACTTTTATTTCTAACTGAACACGCATTGTTTGTTTTTTTGCTTTGTGCGCAAAATCAATTTCGTAGATACAGGTCGTGTTATTTGTCCTGTGCAGGAGTGACTAACAGCTCCGACTGGTTTTGATGTGTTAGATTGATGAGATAATGGACGGAGATGCTCATTAGGTTTTTGATTTTGATTTGGGGAGTTGGATACTGTATCTCCTCTTCACAGCAAACGGCCCACAGATTCATCAGTGCAGCTACAGTCTGGTGGTGAAATGAAGTAAGACACTAAAACAAAATCACAATCTTCACTAAACTGCACTTTATAATGGTTATATTTAACAGAGATGAAGACGCAGCGCGGTCGCTTAGCGCTGTTTCTGCTCGCCAGTCCAGCTGCAATGTTAGAGACCATCACACAATTACAGCAAGAAATGATCAGCGTTTCAACAAACTCAAATTAAACACACACAGAAACGTTCATGTGGGATGAGGTTAAATGGTGAGAGAGTTTAATAGATCTATAGAGTAGATGTAGATACATCAATGTGAGGATGTCGAAACACTGAACGTTTCAGCAGGCAGCATTAAGGCAGCAGCCTTCGGTATCAGACACAGCCTAAATGTATAGAAGCACATAATTCAAAAATGAAACCTGAAACAGTGGAAATTAGTTTAAACCTTAAGTTATGGCCATTTCACGAGTTTTCAAATTCACTTTACCTAAAACAAAGTTACATTTCCTCAAAAAACTGGGAGCAAAACATTGCTTTTATTTGGTGAAATTAAGCACTTTGTTGTTATTTACTGCAGGCAAGTCGAGATGGTGGAAATGGAGCAGGATAAAGAGGAACAGGCGAGTTCTGCTCTTTTTGCTCTCTACTTCCTTGACTTGCATTTAGCCTTTCCTGTTCTTTCCTCTGATGTTCTATCGTCCGCGTCCTCCTCGTTTCTCTTCTGTTTTTCCGCGCTTAGACAGGTCCTGTCACACACAATGTTACCTTGCGTTAAACACAGTACATCACACAACAAAACACCACACTAGCACTGCAGTTCAGCAAAATGGGTAAGCTTGTGCACCAGCACGCCCACACCCCTCAGAGCTCTCACTTTTCCTGCAGGGAAGACTCGTCCTCAGGATCAGTCTCTCCAGAAACTGCACCCTATCCTCTCCTGCCTTACACTCCTCCAAGCCTTGATGTAGCTGCAACAACCTGAAAAATGCACACAGATACAACCATAAAGAGCTGTTCATCTCTGACTCAAATCCTATCTGGTCCGCAAATATATTTAAATTTTCTATTAATATTAGCCTGTATCACAATGTGCTGCACTACAGTCCCCAGCATGCAACATAATGTGCCTACCCCAACAACAGTCCATGGGTCAGTGGTTGCACCTCAATTCTACTGAATACTGTGCAATTCCACACCAGTCATATCACCAAAATGCATTCCAGCTTCAGTTCAACCAATATAAACACTTAACATCAGCTCAGCAGCTCAGAAACTGAGCCTTGATGAACTTGCAGCAATGAAAAGATGCCAGGTGTCTAGTTCAAGCAAATAGGTAGGTTTAAAAGACTTTCTCCTGGGGACATTTAAATTTTGAATATTTCAAGTGTCAATATAATATTTCAAGGTCTACTACAAGTGTCTGTATTTTACTGTTGATGGTGTATTGATTAATGTGCAGCATCACTACACAAATAACCCAAGCGTAGACTGAGGTGAGTGTGGCTCATCCATGCTAGTCTCAGCTTAGGCATTGATTAAGCATGACACTCACCTGCCCCTCTTCTGGATGCAGTCCATCAGGCCAGCAGATATCCTGTACTCTGTGCCTGTCGGTGTGTCTTGCTGCATCAGCGAAGGAACGATGTCCAGTCGGGGCAGTGCGGAGGGGGTTATCACATTACTGAGAGAGAAAGAGAGACACATTTGTCAGTTTGTCTACTTGAAAAATAGAGAAAAAATGTAAATTCTTTTATGTTTATTGTATTTACAGATAATTACAAATCTTTTAACATTTCAGCAGTGGAATCAGCCAAGAAAGGCTGTGCATAACAGTGATTTTACAGGGACAAAATCTGATAATATTCAAAGTAATAATTACTAATAATAATCACAGTTAATAACTATTCCACCAAGTGATGTAGTTTGTTAATAAAAACTATGGTTGCTAAGCAACATATCAGTCAAAGACTATTCGATTAACATGACAACAGTTTCTAATAACTTGCCGAATTTACATAAAATTCAGCATATTGAGTGTTTTACAGCAGCTTTGAATGTGTCTTACACAATTAAATGTTAAAACTGGAACAATATATTTTACATAAATATGTAAGCATTATTTTGAAAATGATTGTAATGAATGGGTGTATATCTCACTATTTTGGATCTCTTTGATCTTCATTAGGAGGACAGCGGGGAAAGAGAGATTTCTCCACCAGATTCTCCATCGTTCTTCCTGCATGTTTGATCTACAGGGAGATAAAACGCAACATGCTCACCACCACCATCTTCATTATTATAAGCAATAACATGGCTGCTACACTCATACAGATAACAGTACAATCTACATCTGTTCTGGACACAAACCTGGTGAGAGTATCCATATCCCATTGAGCCGTACGTGAACGCCAGATCTGCGTCCAGCTTGCAAACTTTCTGAAAACGTAAGAAATCAAATCATATATCTCTGTCTCTCTTCCACACAAGCAGAAAATAAAATAACAGAATTTTATGAATGCACACTTTACCTGTTGCCTGAGCCTCATATTAAACTGGTGGCTCACTGAAGATTTCTGTAAGAAAAGAGGAAAAAAATGGTTACGGTCTCATTATTGGTAATCAGTGACACTGAGTGGCTTAAATGAAACCTTTATACAGGTATAAGAATGAGAACGTGTCTCACCTTAAGGATTTCCTGCAGCTTGATGGTGTCTCTCCCCATGAGTTTAGGGGTGGCTGTGTCAGGATCTGTAATAATCAGTTCCACCACCATCAAACTCGACTGCTGAACCCCAACAACGTCTTCCTGCTGGATCTGCAAACGAAAATAGACAAGAAAGGTAAGGGGGGGACTTGCAGAATTGCCCGCTGACAATTATAAACATGTTTTGAGTCTAAGGTTTTTGTGTTTTTTCTTAAGCTAATAAACTCAGCACTATGCCTGAACCCAAAGCTCTTGTGAAGAATCATTACTCGCATAAAGTGGCCAGACCAATACAGAGGGGCTACACCTGCTAATCAACTGTGTGCTACAATCTGGCGCCCCTGCGCAGTCATGACTGCATAGTCATTTAGTGTCTCTGAGGATTATTTCATTTCATGTTCAGGGCATCTTCAGTTTTAACTTGAATCTTCTGAGATCCACAAACACATCAAATGTGTTGTTTCTATATATTTGTCTCTGTCTTTGCAATAATGCAGCACAGAAACACAGTTCAAACATTTTCTCGCCTTTCAGTTCTTCCTCATTGTGAGATCATATATTACTCACATCGGAGTTATGAGGCTATGAAGAGAGGCTGAAATACACGTCGTCTGCCTCTCACTGTGTGTAATTGGTGGATTCATGTGTCTGTCAACAGTTTTTGTGAAACTGACCAATGGACACTCGGGAAGTCACTAAACCATTCATTTTCAACCAGTCAAGATCAGAGACACATGAAATGGCGTGTAAAGAATTTACGCCCGCTGAAGTTGCTGCAGTGGTTTTGTAAAACAGCAACGCAGATAACGGAGCATTTTCATATGAAACACATGGGTATCATGTTATATGCAATGTTTAGAGGCAAATTTAAGAAGATTTGCCAAAATCTAGAAAAATCCTTGAAGACCCCAGAGGGTTAAAAACCCATTTGTCTGCTGTGCACAAAGAGAAGACATTGATAAGTAATACTGACCTGTATGGTGAAGTGTTTCCATTCATCAAAGCACATGGGGTCGCTGTAGGGCTGCTGCACAGTGTATTTCACCGTTCTCCCAATAGTGATCCTCACGGCAGCCCAAGTGCCTTTCTTCAAAGGAGCTGCTGCAGAAAAACAGCCAAACCAGAACCAGCATTATTGATCAATGCAGACAAAATCAGCTTATAACAGTTTTGTTGCTGGATATCAGTACAAACACAGACTCAAAGACTAGACTTTAAACACTGAGATGGACAGAAACTTTAAACATACCAGCTTTACTGAAGTTTCTGCAGGTCTTCAGTTTTACAGTCAGGACCCCTGCCTGTCAAAGGAAAAAAAAACATGCATTTAAAAGGTTTTATAAGCCTGAGACATTCATTAGCATCATTCCCTAATGCAGTCACTATTAATGTGACTTTACACTTTATGGCAGCTCAAATACAGAGATATTTTAATGAATCGATTTAATCTGTCCTGAAAATGAATGACACCAACCGGCGCTCCGAGTGGAATCAATCGACGTGGTGGAGAAACTTCCTCACACTTGTCCTCTTCCTCAGCTTGAATGGGCTGAGCTGAGTAATACAATCTCAGGCGCTGCAGGGTAGAGATACAAAAGTAAGTGAACAAAAATATATATAATAATTCAATGAATGAAACAATAATCAAGTTTTAAGGGTGAGATGTTCTTCTTAGAGCTAACACAAGCTTAACTTATTCAATGTGCACTTGCAGTGTAAAAACGAAGGCAAAAATGGCATCTTATCGTACAGTAGAGAAGTTAATAGGTACCTGAACGAAAGAGCGAACTGTGGACAGCACACTCTGCAACATCCTGCTTCCAGATGAGCTCCGTGCTGCAGGCTCCATCTGAGAAATTAAGACAGAGCTGTGTTTACCAAAAGGAGCATATTAAAGCAATTAAAGCCACGAGAGGCTTTGAATTACGGTGATTTTAACACTGGAAGGGTGCAAATGGCATCAAGTGGCTGATTGCTTTTATAAAACGGCGGCCAACATAAAATATGATAAAGTACACAATTGTTCAGAAAACATTTTATTATTACTAATAATCTACATAAATAATGCCAATAAATGTACTTCCTTTAAAGTATGGTATCGTTGCCAAGCAACCAAGGACTGTGGTTCTTTCATGAACATTACATTTTTGTTGTATAACAATAAACATATGATAACACATCACTGTTTAATGCAAAAACTTTCACTTTAGAAATACTTGTTTGGTCACCAAGTTACCACCCCGAGTCTTTTTTAGCACCAATCCCGTGGCTCCCTCTTCTCGTGCTGGGGCTGAATCTCAAATGGCTCCCTGCTCCCTACATAGTGCACTACGTAGGGATTTAAATACTGGATCTTGCAGCCCAACAGAGCAAAATATAGCTAAGAAATAGTCATTTGGGACTCAGACACATCCATCCTTAATAAATGATGCACTGTTGGCTGTAGAGGCTAGAATTTCTAAACTTTAATAACTAGCACACTATTTAGGGAGTACAGAGCCGTTTGGGATTCAGCCTGGGTTTGAGTGAATCTAAACAACAATCCAGACTTCATCAGCTGATGAGCTCATTAAATTGGCTGAATTTGGTCTTTTCCTGACACTTAGTGGATCCAAACTGAATTCATGTTAGAAAATAGTAACAGAATCATAGCAGTGAGTAGAGACTCACCTCCTGGTTCTCCACCTCGATGCACACTGCTCCCCCGCCGTCATGGCCGCTCCACTCTGTTTTCTCCTCGGCTGTCTGTCCACTCGTGGATCCATCGGTCTGGACCTGAGTCTCGGTCTCTGAAGCCAGATCTTCTGTTTTGGACTGGAGCTTCCTGGAGCTTTGGACTGGAGCTTCCTGGAGCTTCTCTTTCTCTTCAGGCTTGTCCAGCTCCTGACCAGCACTTTCCTGCTGGATTTCCTCTCTTGCTCTCTGTCTCTCTCTCCTCTCTCTCTGTTGGTCTTCCTCTTGCTGGTTTTCCGTTTCTCTGTCCATCTTCATTATTTCTTGTACACTTACAGTGAATATCCTTTCCACTGTTTTCTGGCTGGTGACCTTCTTTTCTTCCTCTCTCTGTTTTTCCTTTTGGGCCAGCCTCTCCTTCATGGCCTGCAGCTCTCTCTTCAGATTTTCATCTCTCTGAACAATTCTGAGAGTCTTCCGCTCTTTCCTGGCTATTTTCTCTCTGATTTTCTCCAGCTTTTGTTTCAGCCTTTCTTCTCTCTCCTGGAATCTTTTGATCTCCATCTCATGCTGCTTCACTGTTTCCTCCAAATTCCTGATGACATTCTCTTGTTGAACCTGCTCCACTCCCATCAGCTCCTCATCATGAGTCTCTCTGGCACTCTGCAGCTTCTTCTTCTCTTCCTTCTTCTTCTGCTTTCTTTCCTTCTTGTTCAGCTCCATCTCTGTTCTCTCTCTCTGAGCCTGTTGGAGCTCCTCCTCCTCCCTCTGCCTCTCCCGGATTCTGTCCTTCTTCTTGAAGAGGGTGATTTTGGGGAAGCAGTTGCAGGCTGTGGGACTGGGTGGGGAACGCAGCTCCATCTCCTGCTCCGTCTCCTGTGGAGCTACTGACTATAAGATACAAAATGACCGGGTTAATACAGGTGTGGTTACTCAGTGTTTGATAAAGAGCTGCCGTGCACTATTAATGTTGTACCTTTGTCATCTTCCTCTGCTTCTGGTTTCTTTTCATCTTTCTCTCTTCTGCTCTTTCCTCATATAGTCGTTGTGTTCTGGTTTGGAAAATCAGAAATAAGAAAACATACATACCAATTTATAGTTATTGGTTTTGTTAAAGGATTTAACTGCTTCACCATCCACTGCTTCATTACCAGAAGAGTGAATGTGAAATAGTTTACACTCCAAATTAAACATGAGACTGTCCAATTTTAAATGTTGTCTAACACAAGATTCTAATCCAACATCTTGAATGCTGGTTCGGCCTCTCAGGCACAGTTTTAGAATGGTTTAAATCACATTTATGTAATAGGCAGTTCGTGGTTTTAATGGGAAATCAAGGCTAACATTTACTCAATTTTATACCCAAAGAAACATTGTTTAATTTCAGTAAATTAGATACTGTAAATATTTTCTGAATAGTACGGTAACCTGTTTCTGACAATGGAAGTCACAATAATGAGAAAGTTTCCCATAATTATGACTTAGGATCGCATAAGCACGACTTAGAATCTCATAATTATCACTTTCTCTCTCATAAGCATGACTTAGAATGTCATAATTATAACTTAGTATCCCATAAGAATGATTTTGCACATCAAAATGACTTATTCGCTCATAATTAGGACTTATAATAAGAGATACTATATGAATTTATTTTACATTTACTTTTTCTAAATAACAGTAGATTAAAAGAACATTTAGCAGTAGATGAAAGAAAACATTTATAAACTGTGTTTTTTTAGTTAAAAATAAACCGGATTAATTTAGTCACTGAAAAGTAAAGGGAAATCTGTTCTGCACTGCGGATAATCGCTCAGTAGATGAGCTGATGTTAGAGCTGCAGCTGTAAAGCCGCGGTTGGTCAGGCGAGTTTCTAACGGCAGCTGTTCCAGCAGCTGTTCCAGCAGCACAAGTTCAACTGTAAAGAACCGAGCAAAATGAACCGGTACGAAAGAACGATTCGTGAATCGCACATCACCGGTAGAGTTTGTTCACAAACAGCTGCTGAACTTTAGTTCTTTTTCTACGAACAGAGCTGCATAAATCAGAGTTACACTGACCTTTTGGTGACCTCGCTGACGGACCGGTTAACGATGCTTCCGCGACGAAAAACCGTTTGAGGAGAAACCGATTGCTCTTTGGTAGTTATTTATGACGCCCCGTCACCATGGAGACGAGGCTCTATGACGTCACAACGGACGCATTTTGCCCATAAATATATTTCTATTCCAATTAATTACGTTTAAAGCCAAAGTACGTAAATAACGGTTTTATCTGCATTCATCAAAAACAGGACTGCTAAACGCCAGAGGGCGCTCGTGAGCGAGTCCACAGTGAATGGGGCGAATGGAGTTAAACGGCTAAAAGCGAAAAGTGTAAATAGTTTCTGATCACCTGCCCAGAACTATCCTTTAATTTTAGAAAGTAGAAGGATGTAACGTAAGAGTGCTGTATTCCGTACAGTACTTCGGCACTTTTCGCGTTTCAGCAGGTATTGCGGAAAGACCCGAAGTCATACAGGGTGTAATGATTGGTTGGACTCTGCAAAATCTGCCTAGCAACCAGGATACATTTTGATTGGTCACATTTGGGCCAATACTTTTAAAGAAATAGGGGAAAAAAAGCGTCATCTGCGTCAACGGTTTGTACCGTCAGTATTCCGTACACCAGCTGCCACAGAAGGAGCGGTTTTCCGTACAGTGTTTTCCCTGCATTTTATTTGAAGTTTTATGAAATCTAATTGCATTAAATTATACATTAACTGATTACACTGATTATGAAAGTGAATTAATATGAACAATATGTGCAGTGAATGAGGCTACCATGGAAAGAAGCCCAGTAAAGTGAGTCAGTGCTGTTAAGCTGCGCATCTGAAAGGAGTCTGCTAAAGTAAATTAGCTGACGGTGTAAACTTAGATTAACAACTCAGTACTAAACATACTGTGTTTCATGGTGATGATCCATTGTTTGATATTCGTTTAAGTGTTAAATATTATGTTTAAACGTGCAAAAATGCATTTTAACTGGTGGGGAAAGTTTACCCCACCCTATTTACATTCGCATCCCGCCATGTTCGGCTCACGCCGGGGGTCGGTCACTATTCGCACAGATTTGATGTCCAAACCCAGCCTAGATGGTCTTGCCAACCGATTTGATGAAAAAAAAGGATTTATGACAATGTCTCAGATGTATTGTTGACAAATGTCAAGAAAGTACTTTTTATTACACAAACAGGAAAAGTTTCAAGTGTACGGAATACCGTGCTCTTTCGTTATTTCACTAAAAACCAAAGGAAACACCTGTAGCTACGTTTCCTTTTTTCTACAAACGGGTTTTGGGCAGCAGGACACGAGCAGAACTGCTACTGAGTGCTGACTGTTTACCGAGCGGAGCAGCTCATTGGCTGTTCGCGCTCAGTTCAAAAGCACTCAAAAATATAACAACGATATTAAAATGTTTTATGCTGTTCTACGTTTAGAAAATGGATGTATTATTTTGTATTCAAAATGTTTAGACATTTATGAGCTATGATTTTGCTCAAATGCTCCATCTTAAGCCCTTCATTTTGGACTCGCTCCGGAGCGCCCTCTACCGTTTGATAGACCCGCAACACTTTACAAAGTGGAAATTCTCCTCTCTAAAAGTTCTCTAGTTTGTTCACAAACAGCTGCTGAACTTTAGTCCTTTTTCTACGAACAGAGCTGCGTAAATCTGAGAGTCACACTGACCTTTTGTTGATCTCACTGACGGACCGCTTAACGATACCTCCGTGACGAAAAACCGTTTGAGGCTAAACCGACTGCTCTCTGGTGTTTATACCCGCTCGTCACCATGGAGACGAGGCTCTATGACGTCATAATGCCTGGTGGATGCCTTTTGCCCATAATTGGATTTCCGGATTAAAAAGCCTCCACAAAGAAAATAAAATTAATTAATTACATTTAAATCCAAAATATATAAATAACGGTTTTATTTATATCCTACATTTTTTATTTATATCCTACATTTATTGATTCATGCATTTATATTTTATTGAGTGGTTTATTTAAGTAATTCTTTCTTCTTCATAAAATACACTAAATCTCCACTCTATTATTTAGTCATACAGACAATATTCTGTGTCTAATCATGTGAAAAAGCAGTGCGGTTACCTGTTTAGAGACTGACGGTGGAGATTTTGAGCCGAGGCTAAAATAATCAATGTTTCTGTCACATTTACAGAGTGGCTATAGTTTTTGCAACATTCATACTTTTTCTTCATTTAACTTTTATATGTAACTTAGTGTGAATTTGACACATAAATTGACATAGCAAGCCAGCTAATGTCAGTTATTCATACTAAGCTGATATTGTGGCAAAATTAAAGGCTAGATTAGCACTTGTAGCCTAGCATTAGCTTTGCCATTGCTTATCCAAATATAAAAAGTCTAATAAAACCACACTACATGTAAAAGTTTTGAAATCCTTTTAATGTCTAAAGAAAAATTATTAGTCCCTTTTGAGATAAAATAAGGCCAAAAAGGTTTATAAAATACTTTTTCATTAGGAAGTTAATTTAAACCAACGGTGTAGCTTTGAAAATGTTTCCAAAAGCTGCACTATAGCAGATTCACTGCCTTAATCAACAGTTACACTCTCAGAAAAAAGGTATAAAACTGTCACTTGGTCACTGCGGGACCCCTCGTGTCACTGGGGTGGTACCATCAATGGTACATCTCAGTACCTTTAGTCAGAGAACATGATTGTACCAATTGTCCTATCTAGAACCTTCTTGAAATGGGTTCTATATAGCACCAAAAACTGTTCTTCTATTGTGACAAGGTCAAACTTGTAGCAATAAAAGACCCTTCTGGGTGCTATATATACCGTTTTCTAAAGGTTCTATATAGAACCATCTCTACTAGTTATCCGTCAGTCTGAAGAACCCTTTCATGATGTAAAGAAACCTTTAATCATAGAGAGGGTTCTTTGTGTGTTCATGGTTCTATATAGAACCAATTTCTTTACTAAAGAACTCTTGAAGATCCATCTTTTTTAAGAGTATAGTTATATTCCAAATCATATAAAAGACACTTGATGAACAGTTTACTGTGGGAAACATGAAGAGTACTGGCTGCAGTATTTTGTGCACCATAAGCTATGAAAAAAAACCTTTTTGCAAATATCTAACATGAAAATTTTGTCTGGTTGTCTTTTTATTATCGATAGTTCAAATATATATTTTTATATATTTTTTTATATTTCTCACACCTGAAGGTTACTTTGTGTATTCAGACTTTAGAAATGGCCACAAAGTCAACCTGGATGTTTAAACATCGACCGGATGGACATGTAAGATTTGTAAATGACTACATTATAACTCAGGAACACATATTTGAGAATAAGTGCCATTATTTGAAAATGCTTGGATAAGTACGAATCCATTACATGTAACTAGTTATTACCCTCCTTAAAAGAGTTTCAGACGTACAACATTATACCATTTTAACTGGAAGGGAAAGTTTGTGAACAAGCTTAATGTTGGTTTAAGAAAGTCAATGCTGTGAAGCCTCAGGTGGTTGCTACAGTGTTGCTATTACATCCCAGGTGGTTGCTAAGTCGTTGCTAGGCTGTTGCTGTGGTACCCCAGGTGGTTGCTATTGGTTCCAAAAAAGCAAAAGCATAATTCTACGATTCTGCAAAGTTTTCTAGAGCCCACTTTCACATTCTTGTTACATCTTCATTACGACTCATTTAACACTCATCACAAATCACTTTTAAAAACATTCTTTATTAAGGCACTTGTACAATATTTTCATATTATAAAATATTTAAAAAATTCAGTAAAAGGTTTTCAGAAAATTAAATAATGCATAATGTATTGGCCTATCAGAAGCTTAAGCTTGCTTTTGCGTTCACTGAACTCGTATGAAGACCAACAGTCTATGCTATTGACTACTGACTCTCTATAGCTCTACAAAGAGCTTGGATTCATGCCGATATGTGACATTAGAACAGAAAACCTAGACAAATCAGTACTATACGCTACTATGCTCCAGTTAAGGTACAGGCCACCTTAAATGGGACACTAAAACTGGCTTAAAAATGAAAAGCAGTGAAAGACTGTAGACTTCCATTAAAGAGAATTCCACCGATTTCTCTACATTTCTGGATAATACAGTCATTGAGATGTAGACAAAGTCATTCAGAGTGGTTTGCTGTGAAATGGTGAACATCTAATGTTTAATCTATTTCTAATGTACAGCTTATATGTGCTCTAATGTGCACTCACTGGTGTCTGCTGGCCCTCAATGTTTCACATATTACAGCACTTCCTTGCACTCATACCAGTGTAACCAAATATCCTATAATAATAATATTATAGGATAAACTAGTAAACTAAAAAACAGAGCATCAGAAGATCAAAACCTGTCGAATGTATTCAAACAAAGCTTTGGGTTGAAATAACATATTACAAAAAAAACCTCCTGTGAAATGAACTGTAGACAAAAAATAAAAGTAAAATGATCAAAACCAAAAATAATGATGGAAAGCTCCGCCTACAGTGCTCAAATATTCAGAAACAGGCTGTGATGGCAAAAATACTGATCATTGTCCCAACGTGCAAATAACAGCTAATAACACTGTAAAAATCATTTTAACTTTTTTTGAGACGAAGCATGACCGGTATCACCCAGAATGTATGATTTTACAGTGAGCTGATGTATTTAAGAAATACAATAGATTACTGCAGTGTTTCTGCTGTAAATTTAGATCAGTTCTTTACAATGACAAACGGCGCATTTCATGCCAAACCACTCTGCTTGACTTTGTTTACATCTTAAACACTTAATTAAACTTTGAACTGTCCTCTGATGTCTGTATAGATGATATGTGACTTTGTTCAGGGTAAAAAATGCCCAGTCGTGCTTTTACAAGCCCCTTTACAATCCTATGATTTGGCTCCAGAATAAAACAAGCTGTTGTCCCTTTTTGGGGGGCTCTGGAATTACATTGATGAGATCTGCGCCCATTTGCTGGTTTACAGTGAGGCACCATGATGGATCACACAGAAGAAACATGTCCAAATAGACACAGGCAGGAAAATAAAATGAACCTCCATGTAAATCATCTACGTCAGCAAAGTATTTAGTTGCCATGCTAGTTATTTGAATGTGGCTAATAGCCAATGTTACCTGTAATAGCTACTGGCTTTCAATCTCGACAACAACACGAAGTAAATCAGTAAAAAGTTGTTAGCTCACTATGAAAATTTCAGTTTAACATAATGTGGCTTCAATCACTAAAAAGTGGATAAAATCACACAGCATGGCGAGCTATGGATTTTGGAATTGGCCTGTTTTACCTCCCTCTTTTACAAATGCGAGATTTGCATTTGAAAAGGAGACAACAGATTATGTATATACGGAGTTCCATACGTCCGTACTTCGATATCAGACACAGCCTAATTGTATAGAGGCACACATTTCAATAATGAAACCTGAAACAGTGGAAAGTTGTTTCAAGCTTAAGTTATGGCCACGAATGTTTCACGAGTTTTCAAATTCAGTTTACATAAAACAAAGTTACATTTCCTCAAAAAACTGGGAGCAAAATATTGCTTTTATTTGGAGAAATTAAGCACTTTGTTGTTATTTGCTGCAGGCAAGTTGAGATGGTGGGAATGGAGCAGGATAAAGAGGAACAGGCGAGTTCTGCTCTTTTTGCTCTCTACTTCCTTGACTTGCATTTAGCCTTTCCTGGTCTTTCCTCTGATGTTCTATCGTCCGCGTCCTCCTCGTTTCTCTTCTGTTTTTCGGCGCTTAGGCAGGTCCTGTCACACACAATGTTACCTTGCGTTAAACACAGTACATCACACAACAAAACACCACACTAGCACTGCAGTTCAGCAAAATGGGTAAGCATGTGCACCAGCACGCCCACAACCCTCAGAGCTCTCACTCTTCCTGCAGGGAAGACTCGTCCTCAGGATCAGGCTCTCCAGAAACCGCACCCTATCCTCTCCTGCCTTACACTCCTCCAAGCCTTGATGTAGCTGCAACCACCTGAAAAATGCAACCAAATACAGCCTTAATGAACTAGCAGCAATGAAATATGCCAGGTGTCTAGTTCAAGCAAATAGGTAGGTTTAAAAGACTTTCTCCTGGGGACATTTAAATTTTGAATATTTCAAGTGTCAATATAATATTTCAAGGTCTACTACAAGTGTCTGTTTCTGCATATTTTGAATAAACAATGCCCAGTTCAGGTTACAGCACAACATTAATTTAAAATGAAATAAAAACATGTTTTTCTCTGGCCCACAGATTTGATTAGATTTTTTAATATGGCCCCTTTACTGGTTTAGTTTGACACCCCTGCTCTGAACTTTACGTTTCTATTATGTGGTATTAATTAATGTGCAGCATCACTACACAAATAACCCGAGTGTAGACTGAGGAGAGTGTGGCTCATCCATGCCAGTCTCAGCTTAGGCACTGAATAAGCATGACACTGACCTGCCCCTCTTCTGGATGCAGTCCATCAGGCCAGCAGATATCCTGCACTCGTCTGTGCCTGTCGGTGTGTCTTGCTGCATCAGAGAGGGAATGATGTCCAGTCGTGGCAGTGCGGAGGGGGTTATCACATTACTGAGAGAGAAAGAGAGACACATTTGTCAGTTTGTCTACTTGAAAAACAGAGAAAAAATGTAAATTCTTTTATGTTTATTGTATTTACAGATAATTACAAATCTTTTAACATTTCAGCAGTGGAATCAGCCAAGAAAGGCTGTGCATAACAGTGATTTTACAGGGACAAGATCTGATAATATTCAAAGTAATAATTACTAATAATAATCACAGTTAATAACTATTCCACCAAGTGATGTAGTTTGTTAACAAAAACTATGGTTGCTAAGCAACATATCAGTCAAAGACTATTCGATTAACACGACAACAGTTTCTAATAACTTGTCAAATGTACATAAAACTCAGCATATTGAGTGTTTTACAGCAGCTTTGAATGTGTCTTACGCAATTAAATGTTAAAACTGGAACAATATATTTTACATAAATATGTAAGCATTATTTTGAAAATGATTGTGATGAATGGGTGTATATCTCACTATTTTGGATCTCTTTGATCTTCATTAGGAGGACAGCGGGGAAAGAGAGATTTCTCCACCAGATTCTCCACCGTTCTTCCTGCATGTTTGATCTACAGGGAGAGAAAACGCAACATGCTCACCACCACCATCTTCATTATTATAAGCAATAACATGGCTGCTACACTTATACAGATAACAGTACAATCTACATCTGTTCTGGACACAAACCTGGTGAGAGTATCCATATCCCATTGAGCCGTACGTGAACGCCAGATCTGCGTCCAGCTTGCAAACTTTCTGAAAACGTAAGAAATCAAATCATATATCTCTGTCTCTCTTCCACACAAGCAGAAAATAAAATAACAGAAATTTATGAACGCACACTTTACCTGTTGCCTGAGCCTCAAATTAAACTGGTGGCTCACTGAAGATTTCTGTAAGAAAAGAGGAAAAAATGGTTACGGTCTCATTATTGGTAATCAGTGACACTGAGTGGCTTAAATGAAACCTTTATACAGGTATAAGAATGAGAACGTGTCTCACCTTAAGGATTTCCTGCAGCTTGATGGTGTCTCTCCCCATGAGTTTAGGGGTGGCTGTGTCAGGATCTGTAATAATCAGTTCCACCACCATCAAACTCGACTGCTGAACCCCAACAACGTCTTCCTGCTGGATCTGCAAACGAAAATAGACAAGAAAGGTAAGGGGGGGACTTGCAGAATTGCCCGCTGACAATTATAAACATGTTTTGAGTCTAAGGTTTTTGTGTTTTTTCTTAAGCTAATAAACTCAGCACTATGCCTGAACCCAAAGCTCTTGTGAAGAATCATTACTCGCATAAAGTGGCCAGACCAATACAGAGGGGCTACACATGCTAATCAACTGTGTGCTACAATCTGGCGCCCCTGCGCAGTCATGACTGCATAGTCATTTAGTGTCTCTGAGGATTATTTCATTTCATGTTCAGGGCATCTTCAATTTTAACTTGAATCTTCTGAGATCCACAAACACATCAAATGTGTTGTTTCTATATATTTGTCTCTGTCTTTGCAATAATGCAGCACAGAAACACAGTTCAAACATTTTCTCGCCTTTCAGTTCTTCCTCATTGTGAGATCATATATTACTCACATCGGAGTTATGAGGCTATGAAGAGAGGCTGAAATACACGTCATCTGCCTCTCACTGTGTGTAATTGGTGGATTCATGTGTCTGTCAACAGTTTTTGTGAAACTGACCAATAGACACTCGGGAAATCACTAAACCATTCATTTTCAACCAGTCAAGATCAGAGACACGTGAAATGGCCTGTAAAGAATTTACGCCCGCTGAAGTTGCTGCAGTGGTTTTGTAAAACAGCAACGCAGATAACGGAGCATTTTCATATGAAACACATGGGTATCATGTTATATGCAATGTTTAGAGGCAAATTTAAGAAGATTTGCCAAAATCTAGAAAAATCCTTGAAGACCCCAGAGGGTTAAAAACCCATTTGTCTGCCGTGCACAAAGAGAAGACATTGATAAGTAATACTGACCTGTATAGTGAAGTGTTTCCATTCATCAAAGCACATGGGGTCGCTGTAGGGCTGCTGCACAGTGTATTTCACCGTTCTCCCAATAGTGATCCTCACGGCAGCCCAAGCGCCTTTCTTCAAAGGAGCTGCTGCAGAAAAACAGCCAAACCAGAACCAGCATTATTGATCAATGCAGACAAAATCAGCTTATAACAGTTTTGTTGCTGGATATTAGTACAAACACAGACTCAAAGACTAGACTTTAAACACTGAGACGGACAGAAACTTTAAACATACCAGCTTTACTGAAGTTTCTGCAGGTCTTCAGTTTTACAGTCAGGACCCCTGCCTGTCAAAGGAAAAAAAAACATGCATTTAAAAGGTTTTATAAGCCTGAGACATTCATTAGCATCATTCCCTAATGCAGTCACTATTAATGTGACTTTACACTTTATAGCAGCTCAAATACAGAGATATTTTAATGAATCGATTTAATCTGTCCTGAAAATGAATGACACCAACCGGCGCTCCGAGTGGAATCAATCGACGTGGTGGAGAAACTTCCTCACACTTGTCCTCTTCCTCAGCTTGAACGCGCTGAGCCGGGTAATACAATCTCAGGCGCTGCAGGGTAGAGATAAAAAGTAAGTGAACAAAAATATATATAATAATTCAATGAATGAAACAATAATCAAGTTTTAAAGGTGAGATGTTCTTCTTAGAGCTAACACAAGCTTAACTTATTCAATGTGCACTTGCAGTGTAAAAACGAAGGCAAAAATGGCATCTTATCGTACAGTAGAGAAGTTAATAGGTACCTGAACGAAAGAGCGAACTGTGGACAGCACACTCTGCAACATCCTGCTTCCAGATGAGCTCCGTGCTGCAGGCTCCATCTGAGAAATTAAGACAGAGCTGTGTTTACCAAAAGGAGCATATTAAAGCAATTAAAGCCACGAGAGGCTTTGAATTACGGTGATTTTAACACTGGAAGGGTGCAAATGGCATCAAGTGGCTGATTGCTTTTATAAAACGGCGGCCAACATAAAATATGATAAAGTACACAATTGTTCAGAAAATATTTTATTATTACTAATAATCTACATAAATAATGCCAATAAATGTACTTCCTTTAAAGTATGGTATCGTTGCCAAGCAACCAAGGACTGTGGTTCTTTCATGCACATTACATTTTTGTTGTATAACAATAAACATATGATAACACATCACTGTTTAATGCAAAAACTTTCACTTTAGAAATACTTGTTTGGTCACCAAGTTACCACCCCGAGTCTTTTTTAGCACCAATCCCGTGGCTCCCTCTTCTCGTGCTGGGGCTGAATCTCAAATGGCTCCCTGCTCCCTACATAGTGCACTACGTAGGGATTTAAATACTGGATCCTGCAGCCCAACAGAGCAAAATATAGCTAAGAAATAGTCATTTGGGACTCAGACACATCCATCCTTAATAAATGATGCACTGTTGGCTGTAGAGGCTAGAATTTCTAAACTTTAATAACTAGCACACTATTTAGGGAGTACAGAGCCGTTTGGGATTCAGCCTGGGTTTGAGTGAATCTAAACAACAATCCAGACTTCATCAGCTGATGAGCTCATTAAATTGGCTGAATTTGGTCTTTTCCTGACACTTAGTGGATCCAAACTGAATTCATGTTAGAAAATAGTAACAGAATCATAGCAGTGAGTAGAGACTCACCTCCTGGTTCTCCACCTCGATGCACACTGCTCCCCCACCGTCATGGCCGCTCCACTCTGTTTTCTCCTCGGCTGTCTGTCCACTCGTGGATCCATCGGTCTGGACCTGAGTCTCGGTCTCTGAAGCCAGATCTTCTGTTTTGGACTCAGTGGAAGCCAGAGGCTGTGGGCCGGCGTCCTGAGGGACAGCGCTGCTCTCATCCCTCACACTGTCCTCTACATGTGTGCTGCGGTCAGATGAGGAGGGAGTGGATGGTTCAGGCTGCTCTTCGCTCAGATTGAGGAGGGCTCCTTCATTTGGAGGAACAAGGCTGCTGAAAGTCCTGGAGCTTCTCTTTCTCTTCAGGCTTGTCCAGCTCCTGACCAGCACTTTCCTGCTGGATTTCCTCTCTTGCTCTCTGTCTCTCTCTCCTCTCTCTCTGTTGGTCTTCCTCTTGCTGGTTTTCCGTTTCTCTGTCCATCTTCATTATTTCTTGTACACTCACAGTGAATATCCTTTCCACTGTTTTCTGGCTGGTGACCTTCTTTTCTTCCTCTCTCTGGTTTTCCTTTTGGGCCAGCCTCTCCTTCATGGCCTGCAGCTCTCTCTTCAGATTTTCATCTCTCTGAACAATTTTCAGAGTCTTCCGCTCTTTCCTGGCTATTTTCTCTCTGATTTTCTCCAGCTTTTGTTTCAGCCTTTCTTCTCTCTCCTGGAATCTTTTGATCTCCATCTCATGCTGCTTCACTGTTTCCTCCAAATTCCTGATGACATTCTCTTGTTGAACCTGCTCCACTCCCATCAGCTCCTCATCATGAGTCTCTCTGGCACTCTGCAGCTTCTTCTTCTCTTCCTTCTTCTTCTGCTTTCTTTCCTTCTTGTTCAGCTCCATCTCTGTTCTCTCTCTCTGAGCCTGTTGGAGCTCCTCCTCCTCCCTCTGCCTCTCCCGGATTCTGTCCTTCTTCTTGAAGAGGGTGATTTTGGGGAAGCAGTTGCAGGCTGTGGGACTGGGTGGGGAACGCAGCTCCATCTCCTGCTCCGTCTCCTGTGGAGCTACTGACTATAAGATACAAAATGACCGGGTTAATACAGGTGTGGTTACTCAGTGTTTGATAAAGAGCTGCCGTGCACTATTAATGTTGTACCTTTGTCATCTTCCTCTGCTTCTGGTTTCTCTTCATCTTTCTCTCTTCTGCTCTTTCCTCATACAGTCGTTGTGTTCTGGTTTGGAAAATCACAAATGAGAAAACATCCATACCAATTTATAGTTATTGGTTTTGTTTAAGGATTTAACTGCTTCACCATCCACTGCTTCATTACCAGAAGAGTGAATGTGAAATAGTTTACACTCCAAATTAAACATGAGACTGTCCAATTTAAAATGTTGTCTGACACAAGATTCTAATCCAACATCTTGAATGCTGGTTCGGCCTCTCAGGCACAGTTTTAGAATGGTTTAAATCACATTTATGTAATAGGCAGTTCATGGTTTTAATGGGAAATCAAGGCTAACATTTACTCAATTTTATACCCAAAGAAACATTGGTTAATTTCAGTAAATTAGATACTGTAAATATTTTCTGAATAGTACGGTAACCTGTTTCTGACAATGGAAGTCACAATAATGAGAATGTTTCCCATAATTATGACTTAGGATCGCATAAGCACGACTTAGAATCTCATAATTATGACTTACTATCTCATAAGCACGACTTAGAATCTCATTATTATGACTTCCTATCTCATAAGCACAACTTAGAATCTCATTATTATGACTTACTGTCTCATAAGCATGTCATAGAATCTCATAATTACAACTTAGTATCCCATAAGAATGATTTTGCATATCAAAATGACTTATCCGCTCATAATTAGGACTTGTCTTATCATAATTATCATCTTAAAATTACGATTTAATATCATATTAAGGACTGATCTCATAAATATGAGAAAATGTTCTCATTATGAGACACTAAGTCATAATAAGAGATACTATATGAACCTATTTTTTAAAAGGCATAAACGGGCGTCCATAGGTATGGTGACCATTCAGAATCGTCTCATTTAATTGCTGTAAGATAACTTTTCATCCTTTTATCTAAGTAAAGGGACAAACAAGGCTTAAATGAATATTTAGCAGTAGATGAAAGAAAACATTTATAAACTGTGTTTTTTTTTAGTGAAAAATAAACCGGATTAACTTAGTCACTGAAAAGTAAAGGGAAATCTGTTCTCCACTGCGGATAATCGCTCAGTAGATGAGCTGATGTTAGAGCTGCAGCTGTAAAGCCGCGGTTGGTCAGGCGAGTTTCTAACGGCAGCTGTTCCAGCAGCACAAGTTCAACTGTAAAGAACCGAGCAAAATGAACCGGTACGAAAGAACGATTCGCGAATCGCACATCACCAGTAGAGTTTGTTCACAAACAGCTGCTGAACTTTAGTCCTTTTTCTACGAACAGAGCTGCATAAATCAGAGTTACACTCACCTTTTGGTGACCTCGTTGACGGACCGGTTAACGATGCTTCCGCGACGAAAAACCGTTTAAGGAGAAACCGATTGCTCTTTGGTAGTTATTTATGACGCCCCGTCACCATGGAGACGAGGCTCTATGACGTCACAACGGACGCATTTTGCCCATAAATATATTTCTATTCCAATTAATTACGTTTAAAGCCAAAGTACGTAAATAACGGTTTTATCTGCATCCATCAAAAACAAGGGCTGCTAAACACCAGAGGGCGCTCGTGAGCGAGTCCACAGTGAATGGGGCGAATGGAGTTAAACGGCTAAAAGCGAAAAGTGTAAATAGTTTCTGATCACCTGCCCAGAACTATCCTTTAATTTTAGAAAGTAGAAGGATGTAACGTAAAAGTGCTGTATTCCGTACAGTACTTCGGCACTTTTCGCGTTTCAGCAGGTATTGCGGAAAGACCCGAAGTCATACAGGGTGTAATGATTGGTTGGACTCTGCAAAATCTGCCTAGCAACCAGGATACATTTTGATTGGTCACATTTGGGCCAATACTTTTAAAGAAATAGGAAAAAAAAAGCGTCATCTGCGTCAACGGTTTGTACCGTCAGTATTCCGTACACCAGCTTCCACAGAAGGAGCGGTTTTCCGTACAGTGTTTTCCCTGCATTTTATTTGAAGTTTTATGAAATCTAATTGCATTAAATTACACATTAACTGATTATACTGATTATGAAAGTGAATTAATATAAACACTATGTGCAGTGAATGAGGCTACCATGGAAAGAAGTCCCGTAAAGTGAGTCAGTGCTGTGAAGCTGCGCAGCTGAAAGGAGTCTGCTAAGGTAGCTAAATTAGGTGTAAACTTAGATTAACAACTCAGTACTAAACATACTGTGTTTCATGGTGATGATCCATTGTTTGATATTCGTTTAAGTGTTAAATATGATGTTCAAACGTGCAAAAATGCATTTTAACTGACCGGGGGTCGGTCACTATTTGCACAGATTTGATGTCCAAACCCAGCTTAGATGGTCTTGCCAACCGATTTGATGGAAAAAAGCATATATGACAATGTCTCAGATGTATTGTTGACAAATGTCAAGAAAGTACTTTTTATTACACAAACAGGAAAAGTTGCAAGTGTACGGAATACCGTGATCTTACGTTATTTCACTAAAAACCAAAGGAAACACCTGTAGCTACGTTTCCTTTTTTCTACAGCAAACGGGTTTTCGGCAGCAGGACAGGAGCAGAACTGCTGAGCAGCTCATTGGCTGTTCGCGCTCAGTTCAAAAGCACTCAAAAATATAACAACGATATTAAAATGTTTTATGCTGTTCTGCGTTTAGAAAATGAATGTATTATTTTATATTCAAAATGTTTAGACATTCATGAGCTATGATTTTGCTCAAATGCTCCATCTTAAGCCCTTCATTTTGGACTCGCTCCGGAGCGCCCTCTACCGTTTGATAGACCCGGAACACTTTACAAAGCGGAAATTCTCCTCTCTAAAAGTTCTTTAGTTTGTTCACAAACAGCTGCTGAACTTTAGTTCTTTTTCTACGAACAGAGCTGCGTAAATCTGAGAGTCACACTGACCTTTTGTTGATCTCACTGACGGACCGCTTAACGATGCTTCCGCCACGAAAAACCGTTTGAGGCTAAACCGACTGCTCTCTGGTATTTATACCCGCTCGTCACCATAGAGACGAGGCTCTATGACGTCATAATGCCTGGTGGATGCCTTTTGCCCATAAATGGATTTCCGGATTAAAAAGCCTCCACAAAGAAAATAAAATTAATTAATTACATTTAAAGCCAAGATATATAAATAACGGTTTTATTTATATCTGCATTTTTAATTTATATCCTACATTTATTGATTCATGCATTTATTTTTTATTTTATTGAGTGGTTTATTTCAGTAATTCTTTCTTCTTCATAAAATACACTAAATCTTCACTCTATTATTTAATCATACAGACAATATTCTGTGTCTAATCATGTGAAAAAGCAGTGCGGTTACCTGTTTAGAGACTGACGGTGGAGATTTTGAGCCGAGGCTAAAATAATCAATGTTTCTGTCACATTTACAGAATGGCTATAGTTTTTGCAACATTCATACTTTTTTTAAAGTAACTTTTATATGTAACTTAGTGTAAATCTGACACATAAATTGACATAAGCCAGCTAACGTCAGTTATTCATACTAAGCTGATATTGTGGCAAAATTAAAGGCTAGATTAGCACCTGTAGCCTAGCATTAGCTTTGCCATTACTTATCCAAATATAAAAACTCTAATAAAACCACACTACATGTAAAAGTTTTAAAATCCTTTTAATGTCTAAAGAAAAATTATTAGTCCCTTTTGAGATAAAATAAGGCCAAAAAGGTTTATAAAATACTTTTTCATTAGGAAGTTAATTTAAACCAATAGTGCAGCTTTTGGAAACATTTTCAAAGCTGCACTATAGCAGATTCACTGCATTAATCAACAGTTACACTCTCAGAAAAAAGGTATGAAACTGTCACTTTGTCACTGCGGGACCCCTCGTGTCACTGGGGTGGTACCATCAACGGTACATCTCAGTACCTTTAGTCAGAGAACATGATTGTACCAATTGTCCTATCTAGAACCTTCTTGAAATGGGTTCTATATAGCACCAAAAACTGTTCTTCTATTGTGACAAGGTCAAACTTGTAGCAATGGGTGCTATATATACCGTTTTCTAAAGGTTCTATATAGAACCATCTCTACCAGTTATCTGTCAGTCTGAAGAACCCTTTCATGATGTAAAGAAACCTTTAATCATAGAGAGGGTTCTTTGTGTGTTCATGGTTCTATATAGAACCAATTTCTTTACTGAAGAACTCTTGAAGATCCATCTTTTTTAAGAGTATAGTTATATTCCAAATCATATAAAAGACACTTGTTGAACAGTTTACTGTGGGAAACATGAAGAGTACTGGCTGCAGTATTTTGTGCACCATAAGCCACGAAAAAAACCTTTTTGCAAATATCTAACATGAATATTTTGTCTAGTTGTCTTTATATTATCGATAGTTCAAACATATATTTTTTAATATTTCTCACACCTGAGGGCTACTATGTGTATGCAAACTTTAGAAAAGGCCACACAGTCAACCTGGATGTTTAAACATCGACCGGATGGACATGTAAGATTTGTAAATGACTAAATTATAACTCAGGAACACATATTTGAGAATAAGTGCCATTATTTGAAAATGCTTGGATAAGTATGAATCCCATACATGTAACTAGTTATTACCCTCCTTAAAAGAGTTTCAGACGTACAACATTATACCATTTTAACTGGAAGGGAAAGTTTGTGAACAAGCTTAATGTCGGTTTAACAAAGTCAATGCTGTGAAGCCTCAGGTGGTTGCTAAAGTGTTACTCTTACATCCCAGGTGGTTGCTAAGTCGTTGCTAGGCTGTTGCTGTGGTATCCCAGGTGGTTGCTGTCGGTCCCAAAATAGCACAATTCTACGATTCTGCAAAGTTTTCTAGAGCCCACTTTCACATTCTTGTTACATCTTCATTATGACTTAACACTCATCACAAATCACTTAAAAACATTCTTTATTAAGGCACTTTTACAATATTTTCATATTATAAAATATTTTTAAAAAATCAGTAAAATGTTTTCAGAAAATTAAATAATGCACAATGTATTGGCCTATCAGAAGCTTAAGCTTGCTTTTGCGTTCACTGAACTCGTATGAAGACCAACAGTCTTTGCTATTGACTACTGACTCTCTATAGCTCTACAAAGAGCTTGGATTCATGCCGATATGTGACATTAGAACAGAAAACCTACACAAATCAGTACTATACGCTACTATGCTCCAGTTAAGGTACAGGCCACATTAAATTAAATTAAACTAAAACTGGCTTAAAACTGAGAAGCAGTGAAAGACTGTAGACTTCCATTAAAGAGAATTCCACCGATTTCTCTAAATTTCTGGATAATACAGTCATTGAGATGTAGACAAAGTCATTCAGAGTGGTTTGCTGTGAAATGGTGAACATCTAATGTTTAATCTATTTCTAATGTACAGCTTATATGTGCTCTAATGTGCACTCAATGGTGTCTGCTGGCCCTCAATGTTTCACATATTACAGCACTTCCTTGCACTTATACCAGTGTAACCAAATATCCTATAATAATAATATTACAGGATGAACTAGTAAACTAAAAAACAGAGCATCAGAAGATCAAAACCTGTCAAATGTATTCAAACATATCTTTGGGTTGAAATAACATGTTACAAAAAAAAACCTCCTATGAAATGAACTGTAGACAAGAAAATAAAAGTAAAATGATCAAAACCAAAAATAATGATGGAAAGCTCCGCCTACAGTGCTCAAATATTCAGAAACAGGCTGTGATGGCAAAAATACTGATCATTGTCCCAACGTGCAAATAACAGCTAATAACACTGTAAAAATCATTTTAACTTTTTTTGAGACGAAGCATGACCGGTATCACCCGGAATGTATGATTTTACAGTGAGCTGATGTATTTAAGAAATACAATAGATTACTGCAGTGTTTCTGCTGTAAATTTAGATCAGTTCTTTACAATGACAAACGGCGCATTTCATGCCAAAACCACTCTGATTGACTTTGTTTACATCTTAAACACTTAATTAAACTTTGAATTGTCCTCTGATGTCTGTATAGATGATATGTGACTAACAAGCTGTTGTCCCTTTTTGGGGGGCTCTGGAATTACATTGATGAGATCTGCGCCCATTTGCTGGTTTACAGTGAGGCACCATGATGGATCACACAGAAGAAACATGTCCAAATAGACACAGGCAGGAAAATAAAATGAACCTCCATGTAAATCATCTACGTCAGCAAAGTATTTAGTTAGCCATGCTAGTTATTTGAATGTTGCTAATAGCCAATGTTACCTGTAATAGCTACTGGCTTTCAATCTCGACAACAACACGAAGTAAATCAGTAAAAAGTTGTTAGCTCACTATGAAAATTTCAGTTTAACATAATGTGGCTTCAATCACTAAAAAGTGGATAAAATCACACAGCATGGCGAGCTATGGATTTTGGAATTGGCCTGTTTTACCGCCCTCTTTTACAAATGCGAGATTTGCATTTGAAAAGGAGACAACAGATTATGTATATACGGAGTTCCATACGTCCGTACTTCGATATCAGACACAGCCTAATTGTATAGAGGCACACATTTCAATAATGAAACCTGAAACAGTGGAAAGTTGTTTCAAGCTTAAGTTATGGCCACGAATGTTTCACGAGTTTTCAAATTCAGTTTACCTAAAACAAAGTTACATTTCCTCAGAAAACTGGGAGCAAAATATTGCTTTTATTTGGAGAAATTAAGCACTTTGTTGTTATTTGCTGCAGGCAAGTCGAGATGGTGGGAATGGAGCAGGATAAAGAGGAACAGGCGAGTTCTGCTCTTTTTGCTCTCTACTTCCTTGACTTGCATTTAGCCTTTCCTGGTCTTTCCTCTGATGTTCTATCGTCCGCGTCCTCCTCGTTTCTCTTCTGTTTTTCGGCGCTTAGGCAGGTCCTGTCACACACAATGTTACCTTGCGTTAAACACAGTACATCACACAACAAAACACCACACTAGCACTGCAGTTCAGCAAAATGGGTAAGCATGTGCACCAGCACGCCCACAACCCTCAGAGCTCTCACTCTTCCTGCAGGGAAGACTCGTCCTCAGGATCAGGCTCTCCAGAAACTGCACCCTATCCTCTCCTGCCTTACACTCCTCCAAGCCTTGATGTAGCTGCAACAACCTGAAAAATGCAACCAAATACAGCCTTAATGAACTTGCAGCAATGAAATATGCCAGGTGTCTAGTTCAAGCAAATAGGTAGGTTTAAAAGACTTTCTCCTGGGGACATTTAAATTTTGAATATTTCAAGTGTCAATATAATATTTCAAGGTCTACTACAAGTGTCTGTATTTTACTGTTAAAGTTTTTGCATAGTTTGAATAAACAATGCCCAGTTCAGGTTACAGCACAACATTAATTTAAAATGAAATAAAAACATGTTTTTCTCTGGCCCACAGATTTGATTTTTTAATATGGCCCTCTTACTGGTTGAATTTGACACCCCTGCTCTGAACGTTACATTTCTATTATGTGGTATTAATTAATGTGCATCACTACACAAATAACCCGAGTGTAGACTGAGGAGAGTGTGGCTCATCCATGCCAGTCTCAGCTTAGGTGTTAATAAAGAATGACACTGACCTGCCCCTCTTCTGGATGCAGTCCATCAGGCCAGCAGATATCCTGCACTCGTCTGTGCCTGTCGGTGTGTCTTGCTGCATCAGAGAGGGAATGATGTCCAGTCGTGGCAGTGCGGAGGGGGTTATCACATTACTGAGAGAGAAAGAGAGACACATTTGTCAGTTTGTCTACTTGAAAAACAGAGAAAAAATGTAAATTCTTTTATGTTTATTGTATTTACAGATAATTACAAATCTTTTAACATTTCAGCAGTGGAATCAGCCAAGAAAGGCTGTGCATAACAGTGATTTTACAGGGACAAGATCTGATAATATTCAAAGTAATAATTACTAATAATAATCACAGTTAATAACTATTCCACCAAGTGATGTAGTTTGTTAACAAAAACTATGGTTGCTAAGCAACATATCAGTCAAAGACTATTCGATTAACACGACAACAGTTTCTAATAACTTGTCAAATGTACATAAAACTCAGCATATTGAGTGTTTTACAGCAGCTTTGAATGTGTCTTACGCAATTAAATGTTAAAACTGGAACAATATATTTTACATAAATATGTAAGCATTATTTTGAAAATGATTGTAATGAATGGGTGTATATCTCACTATTTTGGATCTCTTTGATCTTCATTAGGAGGACAGCGGGGAAAGAGAGATTTCTCCACCAGATTCTCCACCGTTCTTCCTGCATGTTTGATCTACAGGGAGAGAAAACGCAACATGCTCACCACCACCATCTTCATTATTATAAGCAATAACATGGCTGCTACACTTATACAGATAACAGTACAATCTACATCTGTTCTGGACACAAACCTGGTGAGAGTATCCATATCCCATTGAGCCGTACGTGAACGCCAGATCTGCGTCCAGCTTGCAAACTTTCTGAAAACGTAAGAAATCAAATCATATATCTCTGTCTCTCTTCCACACAAGCAGAAAATAAAATAACAGAAATTTATGAACGCACACTTTACCTGTTGCCTGAGCCTCAAATTAAACTGGTGGCTCACTGAAGATTTCTGTAAGAAAAGAGGAAAAAATGGTTACGGTCTCATTATTGGTAATCAGTGACACTGAGTGGCTTAAATGAAACCTTTATACAGGTAAAAGAATGAGAACGTGTCTCACCTTAAGGATTTCCTGCAGCTTGATGGTGTCTCTCCCCATGAGTTTAGGGGTGGCTGTGTCAGGATCTGTAATAATCAGTTCCACCACCATCAAACTCGACTGCTGAACCCCAACAACGTCTTCCTGCTGGATCTGCAAACGAAAATAGACAAGAAAGGTAAGGGGGGGACTTGCAGAATTGCCCGCTGACAATTATAAACACGTTTTGAGTCTAAGGTTTTTGTGTTTTTTCTTAAGCTAATAAACTCAGCACTATGCCTGAACCCAAAGCTCTTGTGAAGAATCATTACTCGCATAAAGTGGCCAGACCAATACAGAGGGGCTACACCTGCTAATCAACTGTGTGCTACAATCTGGCGCCCCTGCTCAGTCATGACTGCATAGTCATTTAGTGTCTCTGAGGATTATTTCATTTCATGTTCAGGGCATCTTCAATTTTAACTTGAATCTTCTGAGGTCCACAAACACATCAAATGTGTTGTTTCTATATATTTGTCTCTGTCTTTGCAATAATGCAGCACAGAAACACAGTTCAAACATTTTCTCGCCTTTCAGTTCTTCCTCATTGTGAGATCATATATTACTCACATCGGAGTTATGAGGCTATGAAGAGAGGCTGAAATACACGTCATCTGCCTCTCACTGTGTGTAATTGGTGGATTCATGTGTCTGTCAACAGTTTTTGTGAAACTGACCAATGGACACTCGGGAAATCACTAAACCATTCATTTTCAACCAGTCAAGATCAGAGACACGTGAAATGGCCTGTAAAGAATTTACGCCCGCTGAAGTTGCTGCAGTGGTTTTGTAAAATAGCAACGCAGATAACGGAGCATTTTCATATGAAACACATGGGTATCATGTTATATGCAATGTTTAGAGGCAAATTTAAGAAGATTTGCCAAAATCTAGAAAAATCCTTGAAGACCCCAGAGGGTTAAAAACCCATTTGTCTGCCGTGCACAAAGAGAAGACATTGATAAGTAATACTGACCTGTATGGTGAAGTGTTTCCATTCATCAAAGCACATGGGGTCGCTGTAGGGCTGCTGCACAGTGTATTTCACCGTTCTCCCAATAGTGATCCTCACGGCAGCCCAAGCGCCTTTCTTCAAAGGAGCTGCTGCAGAAAAACAGCCAAACCAGAACCAGCATTATTGATCAATGCAGACAAAATCAGCTTATAACAGTTTTGTTGCTGGATATCAGTACAAACACAGACTCAAAGACTAGACTTTAAACACTGAGACGGACAGAAACTTTAAACATACCAGCTTTACTGAAGTTTCTGCAGGTCTTCAGTTTTACAGTCAGGACCCCTGCCTGTCAAAGGAAAAAAAAACATGCATTTAAAAGGTTTTATAAGCCTGAGACATTCATTAGCATCATTCCCTAATGCAGTCACTATTAATGTGACTTTACACTTTATAGCAGCTCAAATACAGAGATATTTTAATGAATCGATTTAATCTGTCCTGAAAATGAATGACACCAACCGGCGCTCCGAGTGGAATCAATCGACGTGGTGGAGAAACTTCCTCACACTTGTCCTCTTCCTCAGCTTGAACGTGCTGAGCTGAGTGATACAATCTCAGGCGCTGCAGGGTAGAGATAAAAAGTAAGTGAACAAAAATATATATAATAATTCAATGAATGAAACAATAATCAAGTTTTAAAGGTGAGACGTTCTTCTTAGAGCTAACACAAGCTTAACTTATTCAATGTGCACTTGCAGTGTAAAAACGAAGGCAAAAATGGCATCTTATCGTACAGTAGAGAAGTTAATAGGTACCTGAACGAAAGAGCGAACTGTGGACAGCACACTCTGCAACATCCTGCTTCCAGATGAGCTCCGTGCTGCAGGCTCCATCTGAGAAATTAAGACAGAGCTGTGTTTACCAAAAGGAGCATATTAAAGCAATTAAAGCCACGAGAGGCTTTGAATTACGGTGATTTTAACACTGGAAGGGTGCAAATGGCATCAAGTGGCTGATTGCTTTTATAAAACGGCGGCCAACATAAAATATGATAAAGTACACAATTGTTCAGAAAATATTTTATTATTACTAATAATCTACATAAATAATGCCAATAAATGTACTTCCTTTAAAGTATGGTATCGTTGCCAAGCAACCAAGGACTGTGGTTCTTTCATGAACATTACATTTTTGTTGTATAACAATAAATAGTCATTTGGGACTCAGACACATCCATCCTTAATAAATGATGCACTGTTGGCTGTAGAGGCTAGAATTTCTAAACTTTAATAACTAGCACACTATTTAGGGAGTACAGAGCCGTTTGGGATTCAGCCTGGGTTTGAGTGAATCTAAACAACAATCCAGACTTCATCAGCTGATGAGCTCATTAAATTGGCTGAATTTGGTCTTTTCCTGACACTTAGTGGATCCAAACTGAATTCATGTTAGAAAATAGTAACAGAATCATAGCAGTGAGTAGAGACTCACCTCCTGGTTCTCCACCTCGATGCACACTGCTCCCCCACCGTCATGGCCGCTCCACTCTGTTTTCTCCTCGGCTGTCTGTCCACTCGTGGATCCATCGGTCTGGACCTGAGTCTCGGTCTCTGAAGCCAGATCTTCTGTTTTGGACTCAGTGGAAGCCAGAGGCTGTGGGCCGGCGTCCTGAGGGACAGCGCTGCTCTCATCCCTCACACTGTCCTCTACATGTGTGCTGCGGTCAGATGAGGAGGGAGTGGATGGTTCAGGCTGCTCTTCGCTCAGATTGAGGAGGGCTCCTTCATTTGGAGGAACAAGGCTGCTGAAGTCCTGGAGCTTCTCTTTCTCTTCAGGCTTGTCCAGCTCCTGACCAGCACTTTCCTGCTGGATTTCCTCTCTTGCTCTCTGTCTCTCTCTCCTCTCTCTCTGTTGGTCTTCCTCTTGCTGGTTTTCCGTTTCTCTGTCCATCTTCATTATTTCTTGTACACTCACAGTGAATATCCTTTCCACTGTTTTCTGGCTGGTGACCTTCTTTTCTTCCTCTCTCTGGTTTTCCTTTTGGGCCAGCCTCTCCTTCATGGCCTGCAGCTCTCTCTTCAGATTTTCATCTCTCTGAACAATTTTCAGAGTCTTCCGCTCTTTCCTGGCTATTTTCTCTCTGATTTTCTCCAGCTTTTGTTTCAGCCTTTCTTCTCTCTCCTGGAATCTTTTGATCTCCATCTCATGCTGCTTCACTGTTTCCTCCAAATTCCTGATGACATTCTCTTGTTGAACCTGCTCCACTCCCATCAGCTCCTCATCATGAGTCTCTCTGGCACTCTGCAGCTTCTTCTTCTCTTCCTTCTTCTTCTGCTTTCTTTCCTTCTTGTTCAGCTCCATCTCTGTTCTCTCTCTCTGAGCCTGTTGGAGCTCCTCCTCCTCCCTCTGCCTCTCCCGGATTCTGTCCTTCTTCTTGAAGAGGGTGATTTTGGGGAAGCAGTTGCAGGCTGTGGGACTGGGTGGGGAACGCAGCTCCATCTCCTGCTCCGTCTCCTGTGGAGCTACTGACTATAAGATACAAAATGACCGGGTTAATACAGGTGTGGTTACTCAGTGTTTGATAAAGAGCTGCCGTGCACTATTAATGTTGTACCTTTGTCATCTTTCCTCTGCTTCTGGTTTCTCTTCATCTTTCTCTCTTCTGCTCTTTCCTCATACAGTCGTTGTGTTCTGGTTTGGAAAATCACAAATAAGAAAACATACATACCAATTTATAGTTATTGGTTTTGTTTAAGGATTTAACTGCTTCACCATCCACTGCTTCATTACCAGAAGAGTGAATGTGAAATAGTTTACACTCCAAATTAAACATGAGACTGTCCAATTTAAAATGTTGTCTGACACAAGATTCTAATCCAACATCTTGAATGCTGGTTCGGCCTCTCAGGCACAGTTTTAGAATGGTTTAAATCACATTTATGTAATAGGCAGTTCATGGTTTTAATGGGAAATCAAGGCTAACATTTACTCAATTTTATACCCAAAGAAACATTGTTTAATTTCAGTAAATTAGATACTGTAAATATTTTCTGAATAGTACGGTAACCTGTTTCTGACAGTGGAAGTCACAATAATGAGAAAGTTTCCCATAATTATGACTTAGGATCGCATAAGCACGACTTAGAATCTCATAATTATGACTTTCTCTCTCATAAGCATGACTTAGGATGTCATAATTATAACTTAGTATCCCATAAGAATTTATTTGCTCATAATTAGGACTTATAATAAGAGATACTATATGAATTTATTTTACATTTACTTTTTCTAAGTAACAGTAGCTTAAAAGAACATTTAGCAGTAGATGAAAGAAAACATTTATAAATGGTGTTTTTTTCAGTGAAAAATAAACCGGATTAACTTAGTCACTGAAAACTAAAGGGAAATCTGTTCTGCACTGCGGATAATCGCTCAGTAGATGAGCTGATGTTAGAGCTGCAGCTGTAAAGCCGCGGTTGGTCAGGCGAGTTTCTAGCGGCAGCTGTTCCAGCAGCACAAGTTCAACTGTAAAGAACCGAGCAAAATGAACCGGTACGAAAGAACGATTCGCGAATCGCACATCACCGGTAGAGTTTGTTCACAAACAGCTGCTGAACTTTAGTTCTTTTTCTACGAACAGAGCTGCATAAATCTGAGAGTCACACTGACCTTTTGGTGACCTCGCTGACGGACCGGTTAACGATGCTTCCGCGACGAAAAACCGTTTGAGGAGAAACCGATTGCTCTTTGGTAGTTATTTATGACGCCCCGTCACCATGGAGACGAGTCTCTATGACGTCATAAAGGACGCATTTTGCCCATAAATATATTTCTATTCCAATTAATTACGTTTAAAGCCAAAGTACGTAAATAACGGCTTTATCTGCATTCATCAAAAACAGGACTGCTAAACGCCAGAGGGCGCTCGTGAGCGAGTCCACAGTGAATGGGGCGAATGGAGTTAAACGGCTAAAAGCGAAAAGTGTAAATAGTTTCTGATCACCTGCCCAGAACTATCCTTTAATTTTAGAAAGTAGAAGGATGTAACGTAAAAGTGCTGTATTCCGTACAGTACTTCGGCACTTTTCGCGTTTCAGCAGGTATTGCGGAAAGACCCGAAGTCATTGGTTGGACTCTGCAAAATCTGCCTAGCAACCAGGATGCATTTTGATTGGTCACATTTGGGCCAATACTTTTAAAGAAATAGGGAAAAAAAAGCGTCATCTGCGTCAACGGTTTGTACCGTCAGTATTCCGTACACCAGCTTCCACAGAAGGAGCGGTTTTCCGTACAGTGTTTTCCCTGCATTTTATTTGAAGTTTTATGACATCTAATTGCATTAAATTACACATTAACTGATTATACTGATTATGAAAGTGAATTAATATAAACAATATGTGCAGTGAATGAGGCCACCATGGAAAGAAGCCCAGTAAATTGAGTCAGTGCTGTGAAGCTGCGCAGCTGAAAGGAGTCTGCTAAGGTAAATTAGCTGATGGTGTAAACTTAGATTAACTCAGTACTAAACATACTGTGTTTCATGGTGATGATCCATTCTTTGATATTCGTTTAAGTGTTAAATATGATGTTTAAACGTGCAAAAATGAATTTTAACTGGTGGGGAAAGTTTACCCCACCGTATTTACATTCGCATCCCGCCATGTTCGGCTCACGCCGGGGGTCGGTCACTATTTGCACAGATTTGATGTCCAAACCCAGCCTAGATGGTCTTGCCAACCGATTTGATGAAAAAAAGGATTTATGACAATGTCTCAGATGTATTGTTGACAAATGTCAAGAAAGTACTTTTTATTACGCAAACAGGAAAAGTTTCAAGTGTACGGAATACCGTGCTCTTTCGTTATTTCACTAAAAACCAAAGGAAACACCTGTAGCTACGTTTCCTTTTTTCTACAAACGGGTTTTGGGCAGCAGGACAGGAGCAGAACTGCTACTGAGTGCTGACTGTTTACCGAGCGGAGCAGCTCATTGGCTGTTCGCGCTCAGTTCAAAAGCGCTCAAAAATATAACAACGATATTAAAATGTTTTATGCTGTTCTACGTTTAGAAAATGAATGTATTATTTTGTATTCAAAATGTTTAGACATTTATGAACTATGATTTTGCTCAAATGCTCCATCTTAAGCCCTTCATTTTGGACTCGCTCCGGAGCGCCCTCTACCGTTTGATAGACTCGCAACACTTTACAAAGCGGAAATTCTCTCTAAAAGTTCTCTAGTTTGTTCACAAACAGCTGCTGAACTTTAGTTCTTTTTCTACGAACAGAGCTGCATAAATCTGAGAGTCACACTGACCTTTTGGTGACCTCGCTGACGGACCGGTTAACGATGCTTCCGCGACGAAAAACCGTTTGAGGAGAAACCGATTGCTCTTTGGTAGTTATTTATGACGCCCCGTCACCATGGAGACGAGTCTCTATGACGTCATAAAGGACGCATTTTGCCCATAAATATATTTCTATTCCAATTAATTACGTTTAAAGCCAAAGTACGTAAATAACGGCTTTATCTGCATTCATCAAAAACAGGACTGCTAAACGCCAGAGGGCGCTCGTGAGCGAGTCCACAGTGAATGGGGCGAATGGAGTTAAACGGCTAAAAGCGAAAAGTGTAAATAGTTTCTGATCACCTGCCCAGAACTATCCTTTAATTTTAGAAAGTAGAAGGATGTAACGTAAAAGTGCTGTATTCCGTACAGTACTTCGGCACTTTTCGCGTTTCAGCAGGTATTGCGGAAAGACCCGAAGTCATTGGTTGGACTCTGCAAAATCTGCCTAGCAACCAGGATGCATTTTGATTGGTCACATTTGGGCCAATACTTTTAAAGAAATAGGGAAAAAAAAGCGTCATCTGCGTCAACGGTTTGTACCGTCAGTATTCCGTACACCAGCTTCCACAGAAGGAGCGGTTTTCCGTACAGTGTTTTCCCTGCATTTTATTTGAAGTTTTATGACATCTAATTGCATTAAATTATACATTAACTGATTATACTGATTATGAAAGTGAATTAATATAAACAATATGTGCAGTGAATGAGGCCACCATGGAAAGAAGCCCAGTAAATTGAGTCAGTGCTGTGAAGCTGCGCAGCTGAAAGGAGTCTGCTAAGGTAAATTAGCTGACGGTGTAAACTTAGATTAACTCAGTACTAAACATACTGTGTTTCATGGTGATGATCCATTCTTTGATATTCGTTTAAGTGTTAAATATGATGTTTAAACGTGCAAAAATGAATTTTAACTGGTGGGGAAAGTTTACCCCACCGTATTTACATTCGCATCCCGCCATGTTCGGCTCACGCCGGGGGTCGGTCACTATTTGCACAGATTTGATGTCCAAACCCAGCCTAGATGGTCTTGCCAACCGATTTGATGAAAAAAAGGATTTATGACAATGTCTCAGATGTATTGTTGACAAATGTCAAGAAAGTACTTTTTATTACGCAAACAGGAAAAGTTTCAAGTGTACGGAATACCGTGCTCTTTCGTTATTTCACTAAAAACCAAAGGAAACACCTGTAGCTACGTTTCCTTTTTTCTACAAACGGGTTTTGGGCAGCAGGGCACGAGCAGAACTGCTACTGAGTGCTGACTGTTTACCGAGCGGAGCAGCTCATTGGCTGTTCGCGCTCAGTTCAAAAGCGCTCAAAAATATAACAACGATATTAAAATGTTTTATGCTGTTCTACGTTTAGAAAATGAATGTATTATTTTGTATTCAAAATGTTTAGACATTTATGAACTATGATTTTGCTCAAATGCTCCATCTTAAGCCCTTCATTTTGGACTCGCTCCGGAGCGCCCTCTACCGTTTGATAGACTCGCAACACTTTACAAAGCGGAAATTCTCTCTAAAAGTTCTCTAGTTTGTTCACAAACAGCTGCTGAACTTTAGTTCTTTTTCTACGAACAGAGCTGCGTAAATCTGAGAGTCACACTGACCTTTTGTTGATCTCACTGACGGACCGCTTAACGATACCTCCGCGACGAAAAACCGTTTGAGGCTAAACCGACTGCTCTCTGGTATTTATACCCGCTCGTCACCATGGAGACGAGTCTCTATGACGTCATAATGCCTGGTGGATGCCTTTTGCCCATAAATGGATTTCCGGATTAAAAAAGCCTCCACAAAGAAAATAAAATTAATTAATTACATTTAAAGCCAAATATATAAATAACGGTTTTATTTATATATCCATTTTTTATTTATATCCTACATTTATTGATTCATGTATTTATATTTTATTGAGTGGTTTATTTCAGTAATTCTTTCTTCTTAATAAAATACACTAAATCTCCACTCTATTATTTAATCATACAGACAATATTCTGTGTCTAATCATGTGAAAAAGCAGTGCGGTTACCTGTTTAGAGACTGACGGTGGAGATTTTGAGCCGAGGCTAAAATAATCAATGTTTCTGTCACATTTACAGAATGGCTATAGTTTTTGCAACATTCATACTTTTTCTTCATGTAACTTTTATATGTAACTTAGTGTGAATTTGACACATAAATTGACATAAGCCAGCTAACGTCAGTTATTCATACTAAGCTGATATTGTGGCAAAATTAAAGGCTAGATTAGCACCTGTAGCCTAGCATTAGCTTTGCCATTACTTATCCAAATATAAAAACTCTAATAAAATCACATTACATGTAAAAGTTTTGAAATCCTTTTAATGTCTAAGGAAAGATTATTAGTCCCTTTTGAGATAAAATAAGGCCAAAAAGGTTTATAAAATACTTTTTCATTAGGAAGTTAATTTAAACCAACGGTGTAGCTTTGAAAATGTTTCCAAAAGCTGCACTATAGCAGATTCACTGCCTTAATCAACAGTTACACTCTCAGAAAAAAGGTATAAAACTGTCACTTTGTCACTGCGGGACCCCTCGTGTCACTGGGGTGGTACCATCAACGGTACATCTCAGTACCTTTAGTCAGAGAACATGATTGTACCAATTGTCCTATCTAGAACCTTCTTGAAATGGGTTCTATATAGCACCAAAAACTGTTCTTCTATTGTGACAATGTCAAACTTGTAGCAATAAAAGACCCATCTGGGTGCTATATATACCGTTTTCTAAAGATTCTATATAGAACCATCTCTACCAGTTATCTATCAGTCTGAAGAACCCTTTCATGATGTAAAGAAACCTTTAATCATAGAGAGGGTTCTTTGTGTGTTCATGGTTCTATATAGAACCAATTTCTTTACTAAAGAACTCTTGAAGATCCATCTTTTCTAAGAGTATAGTTATATTCCAAATCATATAAAAGACACTTGATGAACAGTTTACTGTGGGAAACATGAAGAGTACTGGCTGCAGTATTTTGTGCACCATAAGCCACGAAAAAAAACCTTTTTGCAAATATCTAACATGAATATTTGGTCTAGTTGTCTTTATATTATCGATAGTTCAAATATATATATTTTTGATATTTCTCACACCTGAAGGTTACTTTGTGTATTCAGACTCCAAAAAATGTCATCAAGTCAACCTGGACATTCACAAATCGACTGGATGGACATGTAAGATTTGTAAATGACTAAATTATAACTCAGGAACACATATTTGAGAATAAGTGCCATTATTTGAAAATGCTTGGATAAGTATGAATCCATTACATGTAACTAGTTATTACCCTCCTTAAAAGAGTTTCAGACGTACAACATTATACCATTTTAACTGGAAGGGAAAGTTTGTGAACAAGCTTAATGTTGGTTTAAGAAAGTCAATGCTGTGAAGCCTCAGGTGGTTGCTACAGTGTTGCTATTACATCCCAGGTGGTTGCTAAGTCGTTGCTAGGCTGTTGCTGTGGTATCCCAGGTGGTTGCTGTTGGTTCCAAAAAAGCAAAAGCACAATTCTACGATTCTGCAAAGTTTTCTAGAGCCCACTTTCACATTCTTGTTACATCTTCATTACGACTCATTTAACACTCATCACAAATCACTTTAAAACATTCTTTATTAAGGCGCTTATACAATATTTTCATATTATAAAATATTTTAAACATTCAGTAAAATGTTTTCAGAAAATTAAATAATGCATAATGTATTGGCCTATCAGAAGCTTAAGCTTGCTTTTGCGTTCACTGAACTCGTATGAAGACCAACAGTCTATGCTATTGACTACTGACTCTCTATAGCTCTACAAAGAGCTTGGATTCATGCCGATATGTGACATTAGAACAGAAAACCTACACAAATCAGTACTATACGCTACTATGCTCCAGTTAAGGTACAGGCCACCTTAAATGGGACACTAAAACTGGCTTAAAACTGAAAAGCAGTGAAAGACTGTAGACTTCCATTAAAGAGAATTCCACCGATTTCTCTACATTTCTGGATAATACAGTCATTGAGATGTAGACAAAGTCATTCAGAGTGGTTTGCTGTGAAATGGTGAACATCTAATGTTTAATCTATTTCTAATGTACAGCTTATATGTGCTCTAATGTGCACTCACTGGTGTCTGCTGGCCCTCAATGTTTCACATATTACAGCACTTCCTTGCACTCATACCAGTGTAACCAAATATCCTATAATAATAATATTACAGGATGAACTAGTAAACTAAAAAACAGAGCATCAGAAGATCAAAACCTGTCGAATGTATTCAAACATATCTTTGGGTTGAAATAACATGTTACAAAAAAAAACCTCCTGTGAAATGAACTGTAGACAAGAAAATAAAAGTAAAATGATCAAAACCAAAAATAATGATGGAAAGCTCCGCCTACAGTGCTCAAATATTCAGAAACAGGCTGTGATGGCAAAAATACTGATCATTGTCCCAACGTGCAAATAACAGCTAATAACACTGTAAAAATCATTTTAACTTTTTTTGAGACGAAGCATGACCGGTATCACCCAGAATGTATGATTTTACAGTGAGCTGATGTATTTAAGAAATACAATAGATTACTGCAGTGTTTCTGCTGTAAATTTAGATCAGTTCTTTACAATGACAAACGGCGCATTTCATGCAAAACCACTCTGATTGACTTTGTTTACATCTTAAACACTTAATTAAACTTTGAATTGTCCTCTGATGTCTGTATAGATGATATGTGACTAACAAGCTGTTGTCCCTTTTTGGGGGGCTCTGGAATTACATTGATGAGATCTGCGCCCATTTGCTGGTTTACAGTGAGGCACCATGATGGATCACACAGAAGAAACATGTCCAAATAGACACAGGCAGGAAAATAAAATGAACCTCCATGTAAATCATCTACGTCAGCAAAGTATTTAGTTAGCCATGCTAGTTATTTGAATGTTGCTAATAGCCAATGTTACCTGTAATAGCTACTGGCTTTCAATCTCGACAACAACACGAAGTAAATCAGTAAAAAGTTGTTAGCTCACTATGAAAATTTCAGTTTAACATAATGTGGCTTCAATCACTAAAAAGTGGATAAAATCACACAGCATGGCGAGCTATGGATTTTGGAATTGGCCTGTTTTACCGCCCTCTTTTACAAATGCGAGATTTGCATTTGAAAAGGAGACAACAGATTATGTATATACGGAGTTCCATACGTCCGTACTTCGATATCAGACACAGCCTAATTGTATAGAGGCACACATTTCAATAATGAAACCTGAAACAGTGGAAAGTTGTTTCAAGCTTAAGTTATGGCCACGAATGTTTCACGAGTTTTCAAATTCAGTTTACCTAAAACAAAGTTACATTTCCTCAGAAAACTGGGAGCAAAATATTGCTTTTATTTGGAGAAATTAAGCACTTTGTTGTTATTTGCTGCAGGCAAGTCGAGATGGTGGGAATGGAGCAGGATAAAGAGGAACAGGCGAGTTCTGCTCTTTTTGCTCTCTACTTCCTTGACTTGCATTTAGCCTTTCCTGGTCTTTCCTCTGATGTTCTATCGTCCGCGTCCTCCTCGTTTCTCTTCTGTTTTTCGGCGCTTAGGCAGGTCCTGTCACACACAATGTTACCTTGCGTTAAACACAGTACATCACACAACAAAACACCACACTAGCACTGCAGTTCAGCAAAATGGGTAAGCATGTGCACCAGCACGCCCACAACCCTCAGAGCTCTCACTCTTCCTGCAGGGAAGACTCGTCCTCAGGATCAGGCTCTCCAGAAACCGCACCCTATCCTCTCCTGCCTTACACTCCTCCAAGCCTTGATGTAGCTGCAACAACCTGAAAAATGCAACCAAATACAGCCTTAATGAACTTGCAGCAATGAAATATGCCAGGTGTCTAGTTCAAGCAAATAGGTAGGTTTAAAAGACTTTCTCCTGGGGACATTTAAATTTTGAATATTTCAAGTGTCAATATAATATTTCAAGGTCTACTACAAGTGTCTGTATTTTACTGTTAAAGTTTTTGCATAGTTTGAATAAACAATGCCCAGTTCAGGTTACAGCACAACATTAATTTAAAATGAAATAAAAACATGTTTTTCTCTGGCCCACAGATTTGATTAGATTTTTTAATATGGCCCCTTTACTGGTTTAGTTTGACACCCCTGCTCTGAACTTTACGTTTCTATTATCGTGTATTAATTAATGTGCAGCATCACTACACAAATAACCTGAGTGTAGACTGAGGAGAGTGTGGCTCATCCATGCCAGTCTCAGCTTAGGCACTGAATAAGCATGACACTGACCTGCCCCTCTTCTGGATGCAGTCCATCAGGCCAGCAGATATCCTGCACTCGTCTGTGCCTGTCGGTGTGTCGTGCTGCATCAGAGAGGGAATGATGTCCAGTCGTGGCAGTGCGGAGGGGGTTATCACATTACTGAGAGAGAAAGAGAGACACATTTGTCAGTTTGTCTACTTGAAAAATAGAGAAAAAATGTAAATTCTTTTATGTTTATTGTATTTACAGATAATTACAAATCTTTTAACATTTCAGCAGTGGAATCAGCCAAGAAAGGCTGTGCATAACAGTGATTTTACAGGGACAAAATCTGATAATATTCAAAGTAATAATTACTAATAATAATCACAGTTAATAACTATTCCACCAAGTGATGTAGTTTGTTAACAAAAACTATGGTTGCTAAGCAACATATCAGTCAAAGACTATTCGATTAACACGACAACAGTTTCTAATAACTTGTCAAATGTACATAAAACTCAGCATATTGAGTGTTTTACAGCAGCTTTGAATGTGTCTTACGCAATTAAATGTTAAAACTGGAACAATATATTTTACATAAATATGTAAGCATTATTTTGAAAATGATTGTAATGAATGGGTGTATATCTCACTATTTTGGATCTCTTTGATCTTCATTAGGAGGACAGCGGGGAAAGAGAGATTTCTCCACCAGATTCTCCACCGTTCTTCCTGCATGTTTGATCTACAGGGAGAGAAAACGCAACATGCTCACCACCACCATCTTCATTATTATAAGCAATAACATGGCTGCTACACTCATACAGATAACAGTACAATCTACATTTGTTCTGGACACAAACCTGGTGAGAGTATCCATATCCCATTGAGCCGTACGTGAACGCCAGATCTGCGTCCAGCTTGCAAACTTTCTGAAAACGTAAGAAATCAAATCATATATCTCTGTCTCTCTTCCACACAAGCAGAAAATAAAATAACAGAAATTTATGAACGCACACTTTACCTGTTGCCTGAGCCTCAAATTAAACTGGTGGCTCACTGAAGATTTCTGCAAGAAAAGAGGAAAAAATGGTTACGGTCTCATTATTGGTAATCAGTGACACTGAGTGGCTTAAATGAAACCTTTATACAGGTATAAGAATGAGAACGTGTCTCACCTTAAGGATTTCCTGCAGCTTGATGGTGTCTCTCCCCATGAGTTTAGGGGTGGCTGTGTCAGGATCTGTAATAATCAGTTCCACCACCATCAAACTCGACTGCTGAACCCCAACAACGTCTTCCTGCTGGATCTGCAAACGAAAATAGACAAGAAAGGTAAGGGGGGGACTTGCAGAATTGCCCGCTGACAATTATAAACACGTTTTGAGTCTAAGGTTTTTGTGTTTTTTCTTAAGCTAATAAACTCAGCACTATGCCTGAACCCAAAGCTCTTGTGAAGAATCATTACTCGCATAAAGTGGCCAGACCAATACAGAGAGGCTACACCTGCTAATCAACTGTGTGCTACAATCTGGCGCCCCTGCGCAGTCATGACTGCATAGTCATTTAGTGTCTCTGAGGATTATTTCATTTCATGATCAGGGCATCTTCAATTTTAACTTGAATCTTCTGAGGTCCACAAACACATCAAATGTGTTGTTTCTATATATTTGTCTCTGTCTTTGCAATAATGCAGCACAGAAACACAGTTCAAACATTTTCTCGCCTTTCAGTTCTTCCTCATTGTGAGATCATATATTACTCACATCGGAGTTATGAGGCTATGAAGAGAGGCTGAAATACACGTCATCTGCCTCTCACTGTGTGTAATTGGTGGATTCATGTGTCTGTCAACAGTTTTTGTGAAACTGACCAATGGACACTCGGGAAATCACTAAACCATTCATTTTCAACCAGTCAAGATCAGAGACACGTGAAATGGCCTGTAAAGAATTTACGCCCGCTGAAGTTGCTGCAGTGGTTTTGTAAAATAGCAACGCAGATAACGGAGCATTTTCATATGAAACACATGGGTATCATGTTATATGCAATGTTTAGAGGCAAATTTAAGAAGATTTGCCAAAATCTAGAAAAATCCTTGAAGACCCCAGAGGGTTAAAAACCCATTTGTCTGCCGTGCACAAAGAGAAGACATTGATAAGTAATACTGACCTGTATGGTGAAGTGTTTCCATTCATCAAAGCACATGGGGTCGCTGTAGGGCTGCTGCACAGTGTATTTCACCGTTCTCCCAATAGTGATCCTCACGGCAGCCCAAGCGCCTTTCTTCAAAGGAGCTGCTGCAGAAAAACAGCCAAACCAGAACCAGCATTATTGATCAATGCAGACAAAATCAGCTTATAACAGTTTTGTTGCTGGATATCAGTACAAACACAGACTCAAAGACTAGACTTTAAACACTGAGACGGACAGAAACTTTAAACATACCAGCTTTACTGAAGTTTCTGCAGGTCTTCAGTTTTACAGTCAGGACCCCTGCCTGTCAAAGGAAAAAAAAACATGCATTTAAAAAGTTTTATAAGCCTGAGACATTCATTAGCATCATTCCCTAATGCAGTCACTATTAATGTGACTTTACACTTTATAGCAGCTCAAATACAGAGATATTTTAATGAATCGATTTAATCTGTCCTGAAAATGAATGACACCAACCGGCGCTCCGAGTGGAATCAATCGACGTGGTGGAGAAACTTCCTCACACTTGTCCTCTTCCTCAGCTTGAACGGGCTGAGCCGAGTAATACAATCTCAGGCGCTGCAGGGTAGAGATAAAAAAGTAAGTGAATAAAAAAATATATAATAATTCAATGAATGAAACAATAATCAAGTTTTAAAGGTGAGATGTTCTTCTTAGAGCTAACACAAGCTTAACTTATTCAATGTGCACTTGCAGTGTAAAAACGAAGGCAAAAATGGCATCTTATCGTACAGTAGAGAAGTTAACAGGTACCTGAACGAAAGAGCGAACTGTGGACAGCACACTCTGCAACATCCTGCTTCCAGATGAGCTCCGTGCTGCAGGCTCCATCTGAGAAATTAAGACAGAGCTGTGTTTACCAAAAGGAGCATATTAAAGCAATTAAAGCCACGAGAGGCTTTGAATTACGGTGATTTTAACACTGGAAGGGTGCAAATGGCATCAAGTGGCTGATTGCTTTTATAAAACGGCGGCCAACATAAAATATGATAAAGTACACAATTGTTCAGAAAATATTTTATTATTACTAATAATCTACATAAATAATGCCAATAAATGTACTTCCTTTAAAGTATGGTATCGTTGCCAAGCAACCAAGGACTGTGGTTCTTTCATGAACATTACATTTTTGTTGTATAACAATAAACATATGATAACACATCACTGTTTAATGCAAAAACTTTCACTTTAGAAATACTTGTTTGGTCACCAAGTTACCACCCCGAGTCTTTTTTAGCACCAATCCCGTGGCTCCCTCTTCTCGTGCTGGGGCTGAATCTCAAATGGCTCCCTGCTCCCTACATAGTGCACTACGTAGGGATTTAAATACTGGATCCTGCAGCCCAACAGAGCAAAATATAGCTAAGAAATAGTCATTTGGGACTCAGACACATCCATCCTTAATAAATGATGCACTGTTGGCTGTAGAGGCTAGAATTTCTAAACTTTAATAACCAGCACACTATTTAGGGAGTACAGAGCCGTTTGGGATTCAGCCTGGGTTTGAGTGAATCTAAACAACAATCCAGACTTCATCAGCTGATGAGCTCATTAAATTGGCTGAATTTGGTCTTTTCCTGACACTTAGTGGATCCAAACTGAATTCATGTTAGAAAATAGTAACAGAATCATAGCAGTGAGTAGAGACTCACCTCCTGGTTCTCCACCTCGATGCACACTGCTCCCCCACCGTCATGGCCGCTCCACTCTGTTTTCTCCTCGGCTGTCTGTCCACTCGTGGATCCATCGGTCTGGACCTGAGTCTCGGTCTCTGAAGCCAGATCTTCTGTTTTGGACTCAGTGGAAGCCAGAGGCTGTGGGCCGGCGTCCTGAGGGACAGCGCTGCTCTCATCCCTCACACTGTCCTCTACATGTGTGCTGCGGTCAGATGAGGAGGGAGTGGATGGTTCAGGCTGCTCTTCGCTCAGATTGAGGAGGGCTCCTTCATTTGGAGGAACAAGGCTGCTGAAGTCCTGGAGCTTCTCTTTCTCTTCAGGCTTGTCCAGCTCCTGACCAGCACTTTCCTGCTGGATTTCCTCTCTTGCTCTCTGTCTCTCTCTCCTCTCTCTCTGTTGGTCTTCCTCTTGCTGGTTTTCCGTTTCTCTGTCCATCTTCATTATTTCTTGTACACTTACAGTGAATATCCTTTCCACTGTTTTCTGGCTGGTGACCTTCTTTTCTTCCTCTCTCTGGTTTTCCTTTTGGGCCAGCCTCTCCTTCATGGCCTGCAGCTCTCTCTTCAGATTTTCATCTCTCTGAACAATTCTGAGAGTCTTCTGCTCTTTCCTGGCTATTTTCTCTCTGATTTTCTCCAGCTTTTGTTTCAGCCTTTCTTCTCTCTCCTGGAATCTTTTGATCTCCATCTCATGCTGCTTCACTGTTTCCTCCAAATTCCTGATGACATTCTCTTGTTGAACCTGCTCCACTCCCATCAGCTCCTCATCATGAGTCTCTCTGGCACTCTGCAGCTTCTTCTTCTCTTCCTTCTTCTTCTGCTTTCTTTCCTTCTTGTTCAGCTCCATCTCTGTTCTCTCTCTCTGAGCCTGTTGGAGCTCCTCCTCCTCCCTCTGCCTCTCCCGGATTATGTCCTTCTTCTTGAAGAGGGTGATTTTGGGGAAGCAGTTGCAGGCTGTGGGACTGGGTGGGGAACGCAGCTCCATCTCCTGCTCCGTCTCCTGTGGAGCTACTGACTATAAGATACAAAATGACCGGGTTAATACAGGTGTGGTTACTCAGTGTTTGATAAAGAGCTGCCGTGCACTATTAATGTTGTACCTTTGTCATCTTTCTCTGCTTCTGGTTTCTCTTCATCTTTCTCTCTTCTGCTCTTTCCTCATATAGTTGTTGTGGTCTGGTTTGGAAAATCACAAATAAGAAAACATACATACCAATTTATAGTTATTGGTTTTGTTTAAGGATTTAACTGCTTCACCATCCACTGCTTCATTACCAGAAGAGTGAATGTGAAATAGTTTACACTCCAAATTAAACATGAGACTGTCCAATTTTAAATGTTGTCTGACACAAGATTCTAATCCAACATCTTGAATACTGGTTCGGCCTCTCAGGCACAGTTTTAGAATGGTTTAAATCACATTATGTAATAGGCAGTTCATGGTTTTAATGGGAAATCAAGGCTAACATTTACTCAATTTTATACCCAAAGAAACATTGTTTAATTTCAGTAAATTAGATACTGTAAATATTTTCTGAATAGTACGGTAACCTGTTTCTGACAATGGAAGTCACAATAATGAGAAAGTTTCCCATAATTATGACTTAGGATCGCATAAGCATGACTTAGAATCTCATAATTATCATTTCTCTCTCAAGCATGACTTAGAATGTCATAATTATAACTTAGTATCCCATAAGAATGATTTTGCACATCAAAATGACTTATTCGCTCATAATTAGGACTTATAATAAGAGATACTATATGAATTTATTTTACATTTACTTTTTCTAAATAACAGTAGATTAAAAGAACATTTAGCAGTAGATGAAAGAAAACATTCATAAACTGTGTTTTTTTAGTTAAAAATAAACCGGATTAACTTAGTCACTGAAAAGTAAAGGGAAATCTGTTCTCCACTGCGGATAATCGCTCAGTAGATGAGCTGATGTTAGAGCTGCAGCTGTAAAGCCGCGGTTGGTCAGGCGAGTTTCTAACGGCAGCTGTTCCAGCAGCACAAGTTCAACTGTAAAGAACCGAGCAAAATGAACCGGTACGAAAGAACGATTCGTGAATCGCACATCACCGGTAGAGTTTGTTCACAAACAGCTGCTGAACTTTAGTTCTTTTTCTACGAACAGAGCTGCATAAATCAGAGTTACACTGACCTTTTGGTGACCTCGCTGACGGACCGGTTAACGATGCTTCCGCGACGAAAAACCGTTTGAGGAGAAACCGATTGCTCTTTGGTAGTTATTTATGACGCCCCGTCACCATGGAGACGAGGCTCTATGACGTCACAACGGACGCATTTTGCCCATAAATATATTTCTATTCCAATTAATTACGTTTAAAGCCAAAGTACGTAAATAACGGTTTTATCTGCATTCATCAAAAACAGGACTGCTAAACGCCAGAGGGCGCTCGTGAGCGAGTCCACAGTGAATGGGGCGAATGGAGTTAAACGGCTAAAAGCGAAAAGTGTAAATAGTTTCTGATCACCTGCCCAGAACTATCCTTTAATTTTAGAAAGCAGAAGGATGTAACGTAAGAGTGCTGTATTCCGTACAGTACTTCGGCACTTTTCGCGTTTCAGCAGTTGTTACGGAAAGACCCGAAGTCATACAGGATGTAATGATTGGTTGGACTCTGCAAAATCTGCGTAGCAACCAGGATGCATTTTGATTGGTCACATTTGGGCCAATACTTTTAAAGAAATAGGAAAAAAAAGCGTCATCTGCGTCAACGGTTTGTACCGTCAGTATTCCGTACACCAGCTTCCACAGAAGGAGCGGTTTTCCGTACAGTGTTTTCCCTGCATTTTATTTGAAGTTTTATGACATCTAATTGCATTAAATTATACATTAACTGATTATACTGATTATGAAAGTGAATTAATATAAACAATATGTGCAGTGAATGAGGCTACCATGGAAAGAAGCCCAGGAAAGTGAGTCAGTGCTGTTAAGCTGCGCATCTGAAAGGAGTCTGCTAAGGTAAATTAGCTGACGGTGTAAACTTAGATTAACAACTCAGTACTAAACATACTGTGTTTCATGGTGATGATCCATTGTTTGATATTCGTTTAAGTGTTAAATATTATGTTTAAACGTGCAAAAATGCATTTTAACTGGTGGGGAAAGTTTACCCCACCCTATTTACATTCGCATCCCGCCATGTTCGGCTCACGCCGGGGGTCGGTCACTATTCGCACAGATTTGATGTCCAAACCCAGCCTAGATGGTCTTGCCAACCGATTTGATGAAAAAAAAGGATTTATGACAATGTCTCAGATGTATTGTTGACAAATGTCAAGAAAGTACTTTTTATTACACAAACAGGAAAAGTTTCAAGTGTACGGAATACCGTGCTCTTTCGTTATTTCACTAAAAACCAAAGGAAACACCTGTAGCTACGTTTCCTTTTTTCTACAAACGGGTTTTGGGCAGCAGGACACGAGCAGAACTGCTACTGAGTGCTGACTGTTTACCGAGCGGAGCAGCTCATTGGCTGTTCGCGCTCAGTTCAAAAGCACTCAAAAATATAACAACGATATTAAAATGTTTTATGCTGTTCTACGTTTAGAAAATGGATGTATTATTTTGTATTCAAAATGTTTAGACATTTATGAGCTATGATTTTGCTCAAATGCTCCATCTTAAGCCCTTCATTTTGGACTCGCTCCGGAGCGCCCTCTACCGTTTGATAGACCCGCAACACTTTACAAAGTGGAAATTCTCCTCTCTAAAAGTTCTCTAGTTTGTTCACAAACAGCTGCTGAACTTTAGTCCTTTTTCTACGAACAGAGCTGCGTAAATCTGAGAGTCACACTGACCTTTTGTTGATCTCACTGACGGACCGCTTAACGATACCTCCGCGACGAAAAACCGTTTGAGGCTAAACCGACTGCTCTCTGGTATTTATACCCGCTCGTCACCATGGAGACGAGTCTCTATGACGTCATAATGCCTGGTGGATGCCTTTTGCCCATAAATGGATTTCCGGATTAAAAAAGCCTCCACAAAGAAAATAAAATTAATTAATTACATTTAAAGCCAAAATATATAAATAACGGTTTTATTTATATCTGCATTTTTTATTTATATCCTACATTTATTGATTCATGCATTTATATTTTATTGAGTGGTTTATTTCAGTAATTCTTTCTTCTTAATAAAATACACTAAATCTCCACTCTATTATTTAATCATACAGACAATATTCTGTGTCTAATCATGTGAAAAAGCAGTGCGGTTACCTGTTTAGAGACTGACGGTGGAGATTTTGAGCCGAGGCTAAAATAATCAATGTTTCTGTCATTTACAGAATGGCTATAGTTTTTGCAATATTCATACTTTTTTTTCATTTAACTTTTATATGTAACTTAGTGTGAATTTGACACATAAATTGACATAGCAAGCCAGCTAACGTCAGTTATTCATACTAAGCTGATATTGTGGCAAAATTAAAGGCTAGATTAGCACTTGTAGCCTAGCATTAGCTTTGCCATTGCTTATCCAAATATAAAAAGTCTAATAAAACCACACTACATGTAAAAGTTTTGAAATCCTTTTAATGTCTAAAGAAAAATTATTAGTCCCTTTTGAGATAAAATAAGGCCAAAAAGGTTTATAAAATACTTTTTCATTAGGAAGTTAATTTAAACCAACGGTGTAGCTTTGAAAATGTTTCCAAAAGCTGCACTATAGCAGATTCACTGCATTAATCAACAGTTACACTCTCAGAAAAAAGGTATAAAACTGTCACTTGGTCACTGCGGGACCCCTCGTGTCACTGGGGTGGTACCATCAATGGTACATCTCAGTACCTTTAGTCAGAGAACATGATTGTACCAATTGTCCTATCTAGAACCTTCTTGAAATGGGTTCTATATAGCACCAAAAACTGTTCTTCTATTGTGACAATGTCAAACTTGTAGCAATAAAAGACCCTTCTGGGTGTTATATATACCGTTTTCTAAAGGTTCTATATAGAACCATCTCTACTAGTTATCTATCAGTCTGAAGAACCCTTTCATGATGTAAAGAAACCTTTAATCATAGAGAGGGTTCTTTGTGTGTTCATGGTTCTATATAGAACCAATTTCTTTACTAAAGAACTCTTGAAGATCCATCTTTTCTAAGAGTATAGTTATATTCCAAATCATATAAAAGACACTTGATGAACAGTTTACTGCGGGAAACATGAAGAGTACTGGCTGCAGTATTTTGTGCACCATAAGCTATGAAAAAAAACCTTTTTGCAAATATCTAACATGAAAATTTTGTCTGGTTGCCTTTTTATTATCGATAGTTCAAATATATATTTTTATATATTTCTCACACCTGAGGGCTACTTTGTGTATTCAGACTTTAGAAAAGGCCACAAAGTCAACCTGGATGTTTAAACATCGACCGGATGGACATGTAAGATTTGTAAATGACTAAATTATAACTCAGGAACACATATTTGAGAATAAGTGCCATTATTTGAAAATGCTTGGATAAGTATGAATCCCATACATGTAACTAGTTATTACCCTCCTTAAAAGAGTTTCAGACGTACAACATTATACCATTTTAACTGGAAGGGAAAGTTTGTGAACAAGCTTAATGTTGGTTTAAGAAAGTCAATGCCATGAAGTCTCAGGTGGTTGCTGAAGTGTTGCTATGTTGTTCCAGGTGGTTGCTAAGTCATAGCTAGGCTGTTGTTGTGGTATCCCAGGTGGTTGCTATTGGTCCTAAAAGCAAAAGCACAATTCTACGATTCTGCAAAGTTTTCTAGAGCCCACTTTCACATTCTTGTTACATCTTCATTATGACTTAACACTCATCACAAATCACTTAAAATATTCTTTATTAAGGCACTTATACAATATTTTCATATTATAAAATATTAAGAAAAATTTAGTAAAATGTTTTTAGAAAATTAAATAATGCATGTATTGGCCTATCAGAAGCTTAAGAGTGCTTTTACATTCAATGTATGGAGAGGACCAACAGTCTATGCTATTGACTACTGGTTCTCTATAACTCTACAAAGACCTTTGATTCGATTCATTCATTTTGTTACATTAGAACTGAACACCAACACAACACAGTACCATACACTAATATGCTCCAGTTAAAGTACAGGCTTAAATGGGGCACTAAAATTGGCATAAAACTGAAAAATTGTACAGTAAGATGGTGTATTTAAGGAATACAATGACTGCAGTTTTTCTGCTGTGAACTGATGTCAATTCTTTACTATGTCCACGACGCATTTCACGTCCAACCACTCTGACTGACTTTGTTTACATCTTAACCACTTAATTAAACTTTGAATTGTCCTCTGATGTCTCTATAGATGATATGTGACTTTGTTCGGGGTCAAAAATGCCCAGATGTGCTTTTACAAGCCCCTTTACAATCCTATGATTTGGCTCCAGAATAAAACAAGCTGTTGTCCCTTTTTGGGGGGCTCTGGAATTACATTGATGAGATCTGCGCCCATTTGCTGGTTTACAGTGAGGCACCATGATGGATCACACAGAAGAAACATGTCCAAATAGACACAGGCAGGAAAATAAAATGAACCTCCATGTAAATCATCTACGTCAGCAAAGTATTTAGTTAGCCATGCTAGTTATTTGAATGTTGCTAATAGCCAATGTTACCTGTAATAGCTACTGGCTTTCAATCTCGACAACAACACGAAGTAAATCAGTAAAAAGTTGTTAGCTCACTATGAAAATTTCAGTTTAACATAATGTGGCTTCAATCACTAAAAAGTGGATAAAATCACACAGCATGGCGAGCTATGGATTTTGGAATTGGCCTGTTTTACCGCCCTCTTTTACAAATGCGAGATTTGCATTTGAAAAGGAGACAACAGATTATGTATATACGGAGTTCCATACGTCCGTACTTCGA